AAAGTGATTGGGGTATTCTTTTTTAAATTTTAATTTAAAGAATAAAATATTTAAAAGACTTCAACAATAAAACAATTCCAACAACCCCAACAACAAATATTTAATGGAATACAAACAAATAACAGAGCAAAACGTGTTTGTAGAGATACAGATAGTTTATGTTTATATTGGACACAACAAGTAATCTTTAAATTAAAAGAGTTAATTAATTTATTTAAAAAGAGTTCATCAACGTGTCAACAATGGCCAGCAATGAAAGAACGTTGTTCTCGTTCTTGCAATTTTTGTTCAGCTGACGAAGAAAATTAAAATAAAAAATATTTTCTGATACATAATATATATAAATTGTTTTAATTAAATTTTTTTATTAAAAATATTTGTAAAAATTAAGAATATAAAAATGGAGAATTTGAGAGGTATTAATAAATTAATGATAAATGACATTTATTTGTGCCAGACATGTGTACATAATTTTTCTCCCAATAAAGTATAAAATAAAAAATTTAAAAAGCATTGTTTATAGAAAATAAAAAAAATTTTTTTTAATTTAATATAAGGAATTTTTCTTTTTTTATTAAAAAAGATTATTTATTTATTTATTCTTTATTCTCTCTCCCTCTTTCTCAACAACCTTTTTTCTTTATAATAAACAAGTAAGTAAGTTGATGACCATGGCCGAAGAATAAAAAAAACTTTATATATTTTATTTATTACTTAATAAACTTTTATTGATCTCAAAAAACACAAAAATATTTTTTTTTAAATTAAAGAATAATTTAGTGAAACTGTTGTTTTTTTATTTAATAAAAAATTAATTAAAAAGAAATTCCTGTATATATTTTTATTTAATTATCCCTTCAGGGTCAAACTTTAAATATATTGTTATAAATCAAAGTTTATTTTTAGCAGAAAATATAAAAAAAGGTAAAAAAGTAAATAAATAATAATTATTAAATAAATAAAAGGAGAGAAGAAATTCTCTTTTTAATTAATCATTTATTTATGTACTCACATTATTATCCTCTCCTCTCCCCAAAAAACTTCTTTTTCTTATTACAGTGTTCATAAAAATATATATTTATTATTAATTAACTAAAGCTTTTATCATCTTTTCTTTATCAATTGAGCGAAATAAATTATTAAAAAGTTTTTAGGTAAATATTTAATTTTAAATTTAATTTATTTTCACTCAGTAAATTTGGAAGATTGGAATTAATTTTTAAAATTTAATTTCTTTTATTAAAAAATGTTTATTTAATTTCCTTTAATATAATTACTTATTAATTAATTATTAACAACTGCTTAGCTTTTATTAATTTTTAAAAATTCTTCTAAATCAATACACAAATAAATATATTAATCATTTTATTCCAACTTTTTTCTAATTAAATGAATATTTTATTTTTTATTTTTTTATTTTTAATTACAAAATTTAATTTAATTAATACAATTCCGTAAGTGATATAATTAAATTAATTAAAAAATAAATTTAAATTAAAGAAGAACAAAAATTAATGATTTGGTTATTAGTAAAGAAATAAATGAATTAATTGAAGAAGAAGAAAAAGAAGGAGGAAATAATTTAAAAAAGGAATTAAAAACAAATAATTTATTTGGAAATTCTTCTACAAATTCTTTTGTTGTAATTAGAGTTATTCCTTTAAATGATGCTCATTTAAAATTATTAGAACAATTGGAAATTAATGGGGCTGATATGGAGGTAATTTTTAAAAAAAGAAGAGAGGAGGATTATTGTGTATACAAGGAAGGAATCGGAAATTGACCCCCTAAAACAGAGAATAGTTTATTTTTTATGTCGGCAGAATCTTTGTTTTATATCCAATAAACAATTAAATTAAATTTTCTTTTTAAAGTTAAATTTTTGGACATCCCCCGTTCGAATTAAATCAGGAATTGATATTATGTTACCTAAAGAGAAATTACCTTTATTACAACATTATTTACATAAACACAAAATTAATAATTTTAATGTTTGTATTTAATTTTTTTAAATTTAAATTAAAAATAAAAAATTAAAAGATAATAATAAATGATGTTGAAAATTTAATAATTGAAAGAGAAAGAAAAAATAAAAATATTAAAAGAAGAAGGTTAGCTGATGAACCTATTAGAGAAGAAATAAATAATAATAAAATTGAAGAAGAAATTAATTTTCATAATTGTAAGTGGTTGGTTGGTTGGAAATAAATTAAAAATTAATTTACTTGGATACTCAAAAAATAATTAAAATAATTTAATTTAAAAAATAAAAATTTAATTTAAAATTTCAAAAAAAAGATAATTCTTATTCCCAAATGGTTGCTTGGATGAGAGCTTTAGCTAAACAAAACCCAAAATTCGTTCAATTTATTTCAATTGGAAAAAGTCATGAAGGGAGAGGAATTGAGGGACTTGAAGTTATTTTTATATTATTTAAATTTAAATTTAAAAAAAAGATTGGAAGTAGAGGATTTAGAAAGAGAGCATTTTGGATTGATGGGGGGATACATGCAAGAGAAGTTTGCCTATTTTTAATCAGATTTAAAAAAAATATTTTTTAAGTGGGCGGCTCCACATACAGCACTTTATTTTATTCATCAAGTAAGGGGGAAGAGGAGGGGGGATATTTTTAAAAAATTATTTTTCTTTTAATAAAATAAGTTGGTTTCTCGTTATGGAAAAGATGAAGAAATAACTCGTTTGGCAAATGAAATAACTTGGATTATAGTTCCTTTATTAAATCCTGACGGTTTTTCTTTTAAATTAAATTTAATATTTTATTTTAAAAAAAAGGTTATGAATTTACTCGTTCTTCCACAAATCCAAATGTTTTTTTAATTTTTAATTTTAAATTTAAAAAAATATTTAAAAAAAAGATAAGACTTTGGAGAAAAAATCGTTCACCAACTCATTGTGTTAGAGACCAGTGGGGAAGAAATAGATGCTGTAAAGGGGTTGATTTAAATAGAAATTTTGATTTTCATTTTAAAGGTAAATAATCGAAATAAATTTAAAAATTGTTTTTTTTTCTAAAGAAAGTGGTTCTAGTGATGATCCGTGTTCTGAAATATATCAAGTATTTTGAATTGTAATTATTTTTTAATTTTATTTAAAAAGGGAAAACACGCATTTTCTGAACCTGAAGCTAGGTTAATTAGTAAAGCTATTTTTAATTTAATCTTTTCTTTTTTGTAGAGCAGTTAGGGATGCTTTACTTTCAAATAGATATAGAGGTAGAATTGATGGATATATTACTTTACACACTTATTCACAAATTTGGATACATCCATATGGACATAAAAGGTTTAGGAAAAGAGATTTCTTTTTAAATAATTTAAATGTTTGTAGAGATAGCTATCCGGGGGATGTCCAAGATTTATTTTCTGTTGGACAAAGAGCAGCTTCAGCACTTAGCCGTCTTTATGGAACAAAATATGTTGTTGGAAGTGGGGCTGATACTTTGTATAGGATTTCTTTTAATTTATTAGAAAATATTTTTAGATATCCAGCATCTGGTGGAAGTGAAGATTGGGCAAAAGAAAGTGCTAATATTAAATATGTTTATTTATTAGAATTAAGGCCTGACGAGAAAAGTATTTTTTAGAAGTAATTTTTAATTTAAAATAAAAAAGATTGGGACGGGTTTATTCTCGATGAAAGGCAATTAATGCCTACAGCGACAGAAACCTGGGCAGGTGTTCGTGTTGTAGCAGAAGCAATAATTCAAAGAGCTAGGGCAAGAAGAGTAGCTACTATTTTAAATAATAATGGAAGTGGAAATTTTTCTGTTGGGGGTTTGGAATTTAGAGAAAAGAGAATCTTTTTTTTAATTAAAGGGGTTAAACAATTTATTTTAACTGATAAAACAACAACAATTAATACACCGGAAATTAAAGAAGAAGAAGAACAAAAAATTATAAAAAGTTGTGTAGACAGAAGAAGAGCATGTAAACGTATGAATTGATTAATTAAAAATTATTTATTTATTTTTTAAATTAAAAAAGGTTGGGTAAAACAAAGTGAACATCTTTGCCAATCTGTAACAATTTTTATGGCAGATCAATGTGCCCGTTCTTGTGGATTTTGTTAAAAAATCAAAAAAAAATCTTTTTTGATAAATTAAAGATCTCACGGATTAAAAAGAAGAAGAATTTGAATAATTTTTAAAAAAATGTTTTCTTTTAATAAATAAAAAATAAAATATTTTTGAAATTTATTCTAAAAAATAATTACTCCAAATAATTACTACAATTTACTACACAAAACTATTTATGTAGTGTTTAGCTGCCTTCCAAGCAGTAGACATGGATTCGTGTTTTTTCTCGTGCGAATTTCGTTTTTGTAGATTTTTCATAATGTCAAAAACCAAAGTGGGCGTACTAGTAAAGTTTAAGTGTTTTCGAAAATTTTCAATTTGTGAAAAAATTTATGTAAATACATACTATTTCGAAAATTTTTAATGTTTACTATGTTTCTAATTTAATATTATCAAATTTTTTGCAAAATCCCGAGTTAAAGAATTTTTACAAGTTAGCTTATACTTTTGTGCAATACTGTAGAAATTTTTGTGAAATATAGTAGAAAATTTTACACGTTTTTGATCAACGTCTACATGCTAAAAAGTTGCTGAAAACTTCAAATAATTGCATTTATCGTGTTGACTTATTACTGAATGATCAAAGTAGATATGTGCTCTGTTGGAAAAGGATTTCGATCATCGAGAGTATTCGGATAAGGCTGGTACGTGTTTTTTGACTTGCGGCTGCGGAAAATTTTTATTTGCATCCAGCCCTTCAAGACTATATTGTACTAGTATTCAAATATTCAAAATAACGCGTCAGAATTGACAATAAAACAAAATGCCAACTTTAAATTTTATAATTATTTATATAAAAGCAAGTTTTATTTTCATTGATAGAAGGGAAAAAGAATTATTAAAAATTTATTTTAATTAAAAAGAAACGAATTTTTTAACTGATTTTTTTTCAGTGGTTAATTTCTTATTTTTGTAAAAATTTTGAATATGGATAATAATCAACAACAGACACCAGCATTTGTTGGAAGAGGCCGTGGAGGACGTGCAAATTTTGGAAATGGTAAATGATATGTCCTTTTAAATATAAGTATCAGGGCTGAGGCAGTGTGGTTAGGCAAATTTAGTATCAAAAAATTTTATTGATCATTATTTATATACTCATTAAATAATGAATTAAAATCAATTAAATTTTCTAAAGTTTCTTCACGAACTGATTCTATTTCTGATAACAATGACACAACTTCTAACGAGCAGCAACAAGTAAATGGAAGGGGTGGTGCTCGATTTGGACGAGGACGAGGGATTTTTGGGAATGGTAAAGTTTTGTGTTTTCAACTTTTAGGTAATACTGAAAATTACTGGTCCCTAGAAAAAAAACGCTAAAAGGTCTTTTTCGATCATTTTTAGGAGGTGTCAACTTTGTTTGAGGTGTCAAAACAATAATTTTGATACCATTCAATCAAAACCGGTAATCTTCATTACTTCCCACTTTTACTTGATCTAAAAATTTTCTTTAAATATAATTTATTATTAAATTTTGTTATTTTAGATACTTCTAAAACAAATAACTTTTCTGCTATTAACAATTCTTCAACGACAAACGATGACCAGCAAAATACAATTTTCAATGGGAGAGGTGGTACTCGTGGACGTAGCCGGGGAAGCTTTGGAAATAATGCCGGTTTAAATTTTAAAGTTTTTATTTGGAAAAAAGAATTAATTTTTAGCTCCTATTGATAATTCTCAAGCATTTGACAATAATTCAACAACAAGTAATCAACAACCAGTTCGAGGAAAAGCTGCTATTCGTAGTTGGCGGGGAAATAATCGTGGTGGAAATTTGGGATCTGGTAAGTTATTTTAAATTAAAATTTATATTTAATTGAAATTTTTAAATTTTAGTAGGTTCGAGTACTGGTTCTACTTCAGATCTCAATAATAATGGCAACCAATCAACCCCATTTGGTGGAAGGGGTCGTGCTGGTGGTACTCGAGGAAACTTTGGATATGGTAAATTTCATTTTTTATTACTGTCTTCCCCCCCCCCCTTATTAATCATTATAATTTGTTTTTATAATGTTCAGATTTCTGGTAACAGTAATATTTATAGCCAAGACTTGAGATACTTTTGTTAATAAATTTTTAATTAAATAATTTTTATATTTTTAAAGCTGGTTCTCGCACAAGCTCGAATGGCGATGTTCGTGATACAGCGTCTTTGGGCGGCCAGCAATCAGCAATTTTCAATGGGAGAGGTGGAACTAGTGGACGTAGCCGAGGAAGCAGCTTTGGCAATAATGCCGGTTTAAATTCTAAATATTTTACTAAAAAAAGAATTTTTAGCTCCTATTGATAATTTTAGCTCCTATAAATAACTAATTTGATATTTTTAAAGTTGGTTCTCGCACAAATTCGAATAGTGATGTTCGTGATACAGCGGCTTTGGATGGTCAACAATCAACAAAATTTATTGGAAGAGGCGGCTCACGTGGCCTTGGCCGAGGAAATTGTATAATTTTATTTAATAAGATTTGTTTTTATATGTATAATTTTTGTTCCAGACTTATACCAAATTTGCCCCCCCCCTCCCCATTTTCTGCTTCCCCTATTTTCTGCTCCCCCCCCCCCCACATTTTCTGCTCCCTTTATCGTTTGCATACGTACACAGATTTATAGTCCTTTATTCAAAATTTCCTTTAATTTCTCAATAAATTTTAAATTAATAAAAAAAAATTTAATAATTCTTTCAAGCTGTTCCACAAACGAACACTTCTGACTTTGATAATTCTTCGACGACAAATAATCAACAATTTCGAGGACGAGGTGGCTTTAACGGCGGACGTGGCAATGGACGTGGAAATTTTGCTTCTGGTAAGTTTTCGAAGTTTTAAATCTCTGTTTTTTATTACTCCTTTAACAAACTTTTTTAAATAAAAATCTTAGGGCTATAGAAGACTCGTTCCTTTATTTCTTTAAAATTAAGGTGCTAATTCCGTTCCACTTTTGGAGTCTATTTCTGTAGAACGCCCAAATGTGAGGAACAACTGCAATACTTTTAATAATGATTTTGAACGTCGCCAACGATCACGACAGCCAAGCTTTTCCAACGCATCGACTGAAGATTTTGGTCGAAAACGTCAATCACGCAGTTATAGACCTGTTGATAAACCAATTGAAGAAGTCTTTGCTGAAGATCAGGAATGTAAAGAAATGTATATTGATGTGACTGATCAGGATGATAATGTGGATATAATTGGTATTGCGAGTGGTGATCAAAGGATATTTGAGTGGGTTTTTTTAATAAAACTTAAATAATTGTTAACGACTTTACAATAATTTAAGAAACTGGAATGAACTCAATTTGCATCCTGCCTTGTATGAAAATATTATGAAGGCAAAATATATACGTCCAAGAAAAATTCAATCTCATGTTATTCCGTATTTACTTGATGGTTATTTTTTGGAATATTAAACTAATATAAAAATAATTTTTATTTAAGGTTTCGATTTAAAAGGTCATTCTGAGACTGGAAGTGGAAAGACAGGAGCTTTTGCAATACCCATTATTCAAGTATCTTTTTTGTTTTTCATTTTAATATTTTTTAAAGAAAATTCTTTCAACTCCTGAGTTTAAACGTGAACTTCCTGGACCTGTTCCTCTTGCAGTCATTATAGAACCAACACGTGAACTTTGTGTTCAAGTGTATGATCAATTTCGAAAATTTGCTAACGGTGAATTTAATTTAAAATCCCTAAATTTAAAATTATTTTGTTAACTTTTAGGCACTTTCATAAGAGTTTGCAAAGTATATGGAGAGACATCTATGCAAGATTCAATTGCACAAATTACGAAAGGCTGTGATATTCTTATTGCCACGCCTGGAAGAATTAAACATTTTATTGTAAAAGCCAATTTTGTAAGGAAATTTTGAAAATAACTGTTATAATTTTAATTTTTAGGTTGACATTTCAAAATTGAAATTTTTTGTTTTGGATGAAGTTGATCATATGTTAAATACAGAGTTTTTGGAGGATATTCGAGCACTTATTGAATTTCCTCGTTTTCCAACGGTATTTATTTTTTCTCTAACATAAAAAGATTTTTCAATTTTTTAAAGAAAAGTAACAGACAATGTCTTCTATTTTCTGCGACGTTCCCGCCTGATATTCAGCAATTGGCTTCAGAATTGCTTCGAGATAACTTCGTTTTTGCATCAAACAAAAAACCTGTCTCGCCTAATTCTAAGATTGTCCAAAACTTTTATCAAGTTGAAACAAACCACAAGGGAGAATTTCTTTTGGAATTATTAAAAAAAGAATTGGATGGGGATGGAATGAAAAATTGCAAGTTTAAGAAAAAATTTTCAACAAAACTTTATTTTTTAAAATCATACTTGGACAAATTTTAATATTTTCTTTAGGCGATGTCAAACTTCGACGCACATTGGTTTTTGTGGAAACTCGGAAAGATGCCGATAGAATTTCCGTTTATTTATGCGAGAATGACATTAAATCATCAACAATTAACGGGTAAAATAAATTTATGTTTTAAAAATAATTGTGTATATTTTGATAGTGACCGTACTCAGTCTGAACGAGAAGTTGCTTTGCGAAAATTTGAAAAAGGAGAAATTGATGTTCTCGTCGCAACAGACGTACTTGCGCGTGGAATTGATATTAAAAATTTGAATCATGTAAATTATTTTAAATAAAAATAATTTTTAATTAATTTTTAGGTAATTAATTTTGATCTCCCGGATGATGATGTTACTTATGTGCACCGGATTGGACGCACTGGACGTTTGGGAATTGGATATGCGACAAGTTTGGTAGATCCAAAGGTCGACGCTTCTCTTATTCCAAAGCTCGTCGATGTAATTTTTAATTTTTTTAAATTAAATTATTTTTATCTAAATTTTCGTTTTGGCTTCTCATGGAATCTGACATTGAATTCCCTGCGTTTATGAATTCACACACAAATGGGAAATCCGAATTTTGTCCGAAAGACGCCCAGGATGAGGATGATGACGATGACTGGTAGAATGACGATGATGACTGGTGAATTAAAAAATGAGAAAAATATCTTTATAAATTTTTGAGTGAATTTTCTATAATTGTTGTCTTTGTATGGATTTTCTATTGTTACTTTTATTTTTTACATTAAAAATTTTTACGTTTTAAATTTCAATTTAAATGGGCAAAATAGTATATTAGAAAGTAATTGACATCAAAATATAGAGAATAAACATTGAAGTTTTTGTATATTTTGTTTTTTGTCTTAATAATGTTCTAGAACTTCAAAGTGAATCCTTTACAAATTAAAAATTATTGTTTTCATTTCTTTTCTAATAATTTGTTAAATTCTTCGTCTAATATTTGAGCGTAGAATCTTCCAAAAGTATTCCAATTATGCATTACAATTGCATAATAACGTGATGTAAAGGAAGCCAATTCTGTTTGGAATGTAGACATTCCTGGAGGAATTTTAAGAGGGTCACCGCTTTGTTTAAGTACTTGACGAATAAAATCACAAATTCTTGTCACTTAAAAAATAAATTATTTTTCTCAATTAAATTAAAATTAATTTCTTTTACTTGCAATTTTCCTGACAGGTTCTTCTGGATTTACAAAATTAAGAATTTGTTGTTTTAACATTTTTGACCGTTCTTCATTCCATCCAAAATTTTCACCAAATTCTTTTTCACAATGTTTACAGCATTGAATAGCTATATTTTCAAGTCTTTCTGAACAATTTCTAAAAAAAGAAAGAAAATATTTTTTTAATTTAAAAGAAAAACAAACATAAAATTCAAATCATTTAATAAAATAATTAATTCATTTTTTAATTTAATTTTAAATAACTGTTTTGATTCAATAGCTAAACGTCCAGCTAAATTAATGCATGCAAATAAAGAACTAGACAATAATTCTAATTGTAATAATTTATTTTTTAATTCTTCAATTCTTTTTTCATCCATTTTTATTGTTTCTGGAAATTGAAAGGAAGAATAAATTGATTTTGTTGAAAAAGAAATTAATAATTCTAAATAAAATGACAAAATTAATTCATTTATATCAGAATGTGAAAGACTATTCTTCTTCTTTTCTTCTTTATCTAAAAATTCTTTTAATAATGTACAAAGCCATTGTCTAATATTATTAGCGACAGCTTTAAAAAAAAATAAAAAAAATATTAACAGATTCAAAAATAAACTTACATTTATCCATTTCATAAATCTTCATAAATTCCTCAAATTCGATTTTTGCTGACTGCGAAGTAATTAATTGACGATTTTGTGAAAGTGCAAAATTAGCCATATCCATTTTCATTAATTCTACAAGTTCAAAAATTCCTCTAAAAAATTCCTCATTTAAATAAATTAAAAAGAAAAATCTACTTAAATAATTCAATTGTATCTTCTGTTGTTTTAAGTTTTATAACAAGTTCATCTCTAATTGGAGCACATAATCTCTCCAAAACTGAAAGAATAGTGCCAAGTATTTCATTTAAATTGAGAGCATTTTTATCAAATAAATTTTGTAAATGTTCAAAATCTAAGGCTTCATTAACTGCAGAAAGAGCATTTAATAAATTTGCTGATTCTAAGTGTTCAGTAATCATCTTTAAATTTAAAAAAAGTAAAAAGGAGACTAAATACTCCTAGAAAAAATAAAAATCTAAAAACAGTCAATGACATATGTGTCAAATGAAAAAGGAGGTGTATAGGTATCTAAATCTGTACATAATAATAAAAGAAAAGAAACTTACATTTTTTAGGTCAACGATCAAAGAAAAAGCATTCTTCTTATCAGGTGGATTTTTAGACAAATCTTCACGCAGTAAATCCCAAAAAGCTTTTTGCATATCATTTTTAACTGTTTCATGAAGTTTTGAATGTGGACATTGACGGCGAAGATCCTCAACTTTACATAATGGATTTACAGCAATTTGATGTACAATAGCCATTTTCTCTATGCTGTCATGAACTTTAATTAATTCATCCAGAGATAAATATTTGGCTGGTGAAGAACCTTAAAGTATTTTTAATTAAAGATAAAAAATATTTTTAAAAAACCTGCAACCCAATTTGGGATATTATTTCCGTCATTTTTATTTTCTGAAATTTTTTGACTAGTAGAACATTGAGGAACATCCTCATTTAAAACTGGTGATCCTTGCTTTTGTCGCTTTTTTTCAGGGCTGTCAGTAAAGGGTTGATTGTTTAATTTATTATCTTCATTTTTTTCGTTGTGTCTCGCGTCGTTATTATTTTTATTATCTTCTTTAAAGGGCATAAATAAAATTAAATTTAATATTTTAACATCTATAAATTAAAAAAAATCCTGTTTAAAACATTAAAAAAGAAAAACAAGTAAATCTCAATACAAAATGATAGCAACAACGGGACACGGACACTTAGTCGCAGGCCACTTAGTCGCGACCACTTAGTCGCGACCACTTAGTCGCCGGCCACTTAGTCGCAGGCCCACTTAGTCGCAGGCCACTTAGTCGCGAACTAGCTAAAAAGCAGTGTTGCACCGGAACCGATATTTTGACCGGAATCGGAACCGGATCCAATTTGAGTTCCGTATCCCGGAACCGGAATTTCCGATTTTCGAATTTTTTCATAAAATTTCGATATTCGGTTTCGATATTTTTGGATTTCTTTTGATTTTCGAGTTCCGGTTTTCGATAATTTTTTTTGTTTCGACGCAGCTCTGATCCCGACAGATCTCACTCCAAATCCCATTAATCCATGCAAAGTTTCGAAAATATTCCTCATTCCTCTTTAGCGCCGCAGGCAAAATTTTGTGAATTTAGGAAGGCCAAGTGAGTTTTGGAAAGCCAATCCAAGTTTGGAAAGCCAATCCAAGTTTTGGAAAGCCAAATCCCCAGATATTCAATCCCTATATCTGCTTTACACTATTTAATCCCTCGATATCACATCCAAATCCCTCGATATTACCTTTGATTTAAGTTTTAAGCGACCTGGAAAAAAGTACCTTCGCGACGAAGTGGCCTGCGACTAAGTGGGCCTGCGACTAAGTGGCCGGCGACTAAGTGGTCGCGACTAAGTGGTCGCGACTAAGTGGCCCGCGACTAAGTGGGCCGTACCCAGCAACAACAACCCATTGCCAATTGTCATATCTCCATTAAATGGACATTATGTAATTTGATCTTATGTACATAAAGTATATGTTTGGCAAATTGAAATGCCAAAAGAGTTTTAGGAACGTTTCAGTAATCGCTATTATTTAGGTAATTTTCTGCGGCTAATTTACCAAATTTATTAAAAACCGCTTAAATGGCTAACGATGAAAATGGTTTACACGTGGTTAATGAAGATGAGGAGATAGGAGATCAAGTATTTTTAATTGTTTTTATTTAATTTCATTTCTATTTTCAGTTTATTCTGGTACTTGATCCAACAGATAATGATCCTGTAGAAATTCTTCTTTCAAAAGACCAAACTTTGCCGATTTCTTCACTTGAGCACGCTTTTCCTGGTGCCCATGGCTTAAAATATAAAAATCCAAGTACTGGTGGAAAACGGATTGTTTCGTATGTTGTTGTTAACTTTTAACGTTAATTTTGTTAATTTTTAAATTCAGGTTTGATGATAATAAAAAAGCTTTTGTGGCACCTTCTGATGGATGGGGAGGAAAATTGTTTGATGTTATTTTTCAACCAAAGGTTCCTCCTATAGTCAGTGTTTCGTCGGGTGAGTTTTTTTAATTGTAGATTTATTGAAAGTTTTAATAACTGGGGGTTTGTAAAGTAATTTGTTATCTACCTTTAATTATATCAAGGTACAACGTTATGTTTCTTTAACTTAAGTAATTTGATGTGTTTCTAGTTTTTTGAGGTCAAAAATTTTGTTTAAGATTTGGAAAACATCTCAAATTATTTTAATAATAACAGAGTTGTGGTGTAATGATTTGAAAATTTTTTTGTATATATTTTAGTAAAATATTCTATATATAATTTGATTATTCAGAAATATGGATACAATTCTGTAAATTAAACTAAAATCATTTCTTTCCTAGTAATCGCTTTTTTGGTTTAAAAGTTAAGAGAGTTATCAAACTCAGAAAATAATTTGAAATAAAAAACTACAATGAAGATTCATGATTAAGTATTAAGTAGTATATTATAGTACGAGTTCATATTTGTATTTAACGGTAACCACAATGTATAATATAGTGAGGGTTAAAATAGGGTTGCCAAAATGGACCGACTCGGACCGAAAGATCGAGTCAGGCCTCGATGTTTGGCCCGAAAAAGTCTCGTACCGGCCCGACTCGATAAATTTGGGCCCGAAAAAGACTCGTAACGGCCCGACTCGATAAAGTTAGGCCCGAAAGTGACTCTTACCGGCCCGACTCGATAAATTTAGGCCCGAAAAAGACTCGTATCGGCCCGACTCGATAAAGTTAGGCCCGAAAAAGACTCGTAACGGCCCGACTCGATAAAGTTAGGCCCGAAAGTGACTCTTACCGGCCCGACTCGATAAATTTAGGCCCGAAAAAGACTCGTACCGGCCCGACTCGATAAAAACAAGCCCGAAAAAAGAAATGCCTCGACCGTCGGCCCGACTCGAAAACGGCAACCCTAGTTAAAAATATACTGAAAAATTTTTAAAAATATCACAGTCAATTCTTATGATTAATGTTGATAGTTTTTGAAATTTGTTCTAAAATATTTTTTGTTATTTCGCTTCCCATTGCAAATCATAGTTAAGAAAAGATGTTCCCGATAAATAATATCTATCTTTTTGTTTCATCTTCTTTGGATGGGGTTCCATAATTTACTTATTGTTAGATTGCTTTTTGAATTATATTCTTAAGTTCGTAAAGTGAGGGATTTTTCTATTAGCTATATCTGATAAGAGTGAAATGTCAATAAAATTAAACGAGAAAAAGAAAAGATTTTTTTACAACATTTTTTGAATGGAATTTTTGTAAAAAGTTATTTTAAATTTATTAGATAATGATGTGAAAACTGAGCCTTTTGAAAAGGAACCTATTCCTATTGCAAATTTGAAACGAAAATCTGATAGTGAAAGTAGCAACAACAATAAGAAAGTTTTAAAAAAAGATAATAATTTGTTAGTAGAAGAATTAGATGAAAAGCCAAATAATTTTAATGAAGAAAATAAGGAGCATCATGAGGGAGGGAGTGAGTATAAGGAGGAGTTTATCTCTAAAGGTTCATCACGTAGTGGTAATTTTGAATTACCACCTGCGGCTGTTGAAAGAGTTCCATCTGACCTTATTGTTTTTGGTCTTCCATACGAGCTTGATGATTGGGAATTTCGAGAATATTTTGAACAATTTGGAGCTGTCGAGTATGAAGAGGTTTGTAAATACATAATTAGGTTGTGAAATGTTGAATATGTTTTATTAAGATATGGGTCTGGATATTTTTAGTTTCCTGCTATATGTTTATAAAGACATTCAGGCAAAACATTTCAATTTTTTGTTATAGTTTTGTTTTGATGATTAAAAGAAATTTATTCTAATAGAAAATTGTGTCTAATTATATTTAATTTTTTAAAAGAGTTCTAAAGTTCTTAGGATGTTAGTTTTATTTTTCTTAAAAGAAATAATGAATTTTTTAGATTTGAGGCTGAAAATTTTAGAAAAATATTCAAACTTTACTGGTTTAAAAATTATTTTTAGATTAAGAGAAAACCAAATGGTGGTTCTCGCGGTTTTGCTTTTGTTAGAATGATAAATTATTTGGATCAAGTCCGTGCACTTTCTGTTCCAATCCATACTATTGGTGGACGTGAATGTGTTATAAAAATGTCTGCATTAGATAAAGTAAATTTATTTTTTTATAAAAATTTTAAAAATTAATTTAAAGGGAAAAAGTGATAGTTTTGAGAATATTTCTGTTAATCCTCGACTTTATATTGGCAATTTGGGTGGAGATGTTGGAAAAGAACGTTTACGGGAATACTTGCAAGAACATCTTTATCGTTTTGATAAACGAGCGACAATTAATGAAATTTTTTATCCAAATCCTTTTCGCCATTTTTCTTTTGTCACAGTTACTTCGGCAGTTGCTGCACGGGAATTACTTAAGTAAAAAAGACTTTTATTTTATTTTTTTATCTTTTTTTTCAGACAACATGATTTCTTTATTGATGGTCATTATTTTATGTTAACACTTGCTATGCCTAGAAAAGGTGAAGAAACAACACCAGGAATTATTGCTCCTCCAGTACAAAATCAACGTGGGAATGGTTGGTTTCCAAAGCAAGGACCTCAACAAATTGTTGGTCCACCGCCACGAGGTCCTCCTCCTCCAGTGATTGATAATTGGCCTAGGCAGCCAGAGGTTTATTGGAATAATTATCCACCTTCTTCTGTTCAACATCCTCAATTACCTCCACAACAAATTAAAAAACCACCTGTGTTTGGAGCTTATGCAGTGAGAAGTAATGAAGATTATATGCCAAGAGGTGGCGGTGTCCCTGCTGATTATGTTTTGCCTCCAAGAGGTGAACGAGGATATGTATATAATAATCAAATACAAAGACCTCATCCATCAACATGTGATCAATCTGCGGTTTTTTTTTGTTATAATTTTCGTTTAAAATTCTCATTTAGTTCCCTCCTGTTGGTGTTGGTGCCGGATTTACACGAAAACCTCGATCACCTTCGTTTGATCCACGTGAGGAGATGCTTCGTTCTATGCCATTTGGAAATCAACAAAAATTAGGTAATTTAAATTTTGTTTTAAAAATATTTTTTAATTACTAAAAAGGTCGTTCTGACAATTATGATTCTTGGGTTGGAGGAGAAAGTAATAGCAGTGGTGGTCCTTCACTTATGAATCCAAATGACGCTGAAGCTGTTCTTAATAAACTTCCAAATGATGCAGTTAGTACAGCACTTCGAATGCTTCAATCAATTATGACTGCTCAACAACAAAAAGAACGACTTTATGACGGAAGAAATGAAGAAGAAGGAAATCAACGTTAAAAAATATTGAAACAAAAGAAAAAAGAAATTAACTAAAAAATGTGTGGAAATGTATTTATTTAAATATAATTTGTTTTATCTTTTTTTTAATATTTGATTTGTGTATTGATTAAAATTATTATTTTCTTCTAAATACCTTTGGCAACATTTAATTTCTACATACTACATTTTCTTTTCTAAAAGGAAAGGGACACTTTTCACGTTTATTGATAATTTTTTATTTGATAATACTTTTGAAATGATTTATTTGTCTTATTAAATTAAAACAATTTCCGTAAAATAAATTTCATAATAAAACATTAAAAAAGTTGTTCCTTAGTATGTTTTTCTTAATTTTTATCTTTTTAAGATTTGTATTAAAAAAATTAAATTTATTTTTATTTTATAGGAAATGAAAAAAATTGATTAAAAAGGAATGATTAAGGAAAAGTCTAATTCTTCAAATAAACAACCACTTTTAGTTTCTTTTGACGGAAAATTTTTTGATATTGCTGAATTTGCACCTCGACACCCTGGTATTTATTTTTTTAATATTTACATTTAGGAAATAAATATTAGAATTTTCTAATAATAAATTAAAAGAAAAAGTAAAATAATTAACTTGATTAATTTTTGAAAATAATTTTTATAATCATTAATTCCAATTAATATGTATTTTCTAAGGCGGAGAGAAAGTTCTTCAAATCGCCGCAGGTTCAGATATTGGACAGTTTTTGAGAGGAGAAGAGGAATTACTTGGATTTATACACAAACATTCATTGGGAGCTTATAATATTTTAAAAAGATATTCTCTTGACAAACAATTTAAAGTTTGTTTTTTAATTTTCTTTTTAAATTAATTTTTTTAATTTAAAAAAAGAATGATCCACTTATTGATGGCCAGGAACCAATTTTATTTAAAATTGGGGAATTAGGAGAACGTTATTGGACTTGGTTTTATTTTTTATTTTTAAATATTGTTATTTTTTAAGGATTCATCAACCTTATGATGGGGCTGTTCGAATGTTTAAATCAAATTTTTTAGAACAACTTACTCGAACGGTAATTAATATAAAATTTTAAAAAAAATTTTATTTTTAGAAATGGTGGATTATTCCAATGTTTTGGTTACCTTTAGTTATTACTTTTCTGTTAGAAGGATATAATTTGTTAATAAATGATTTTGGTAAATTAATTTTTTATTTTTTAAATTTATTTTTAATTTTTAGGTTCTTTTACTGGGGGTTTCTTTACTTTTTCACTTTTTATGTTTGGAATTCTTTTTTGGACTTTAATGGAATATTCTTTACATCGTTTTATTTTTCATTGGCATCCTAATCCAAATTCCAAACAACAATTGACTTTGCATTTTTTATTAGTAAAAATTTTTATTTTTTGTTTAAATTTTTATTTATTTTTTTAGCACGGCCTTCATCACAAAACTCCCCTAGACAAGGATCGTTTAGTTTTTCCTCCTGCAGCTGCCCTTATTATTGTTGGATTCTTTTATTGTTTTTATCGTTTATTGCTTCCATATCCGGTTTTTTAAAGATTATTTTTAATATTTTTTAAATTTTTTAAAGATTTTTTGTTGTTTTGGTACAGGAAAATTAACTGGATATATTATTTATGATTTAATACATTATTAGTTTTGTTTTGATTTTTAAATTACTAAAAAGATAATTTTTTAACTAGTCTTCATCATGGAACTCCAGAGGCAAACAGTAAATGGCATAAAAAGAAAATATATCATCACAATCATCATTTTAAAGATTCTCAATCCGGATTTGGAATTTCCACAACACTTTGGTAAGTATTTATTTTTTTAATTAAATCCTTTCTTTTTTAGGGATCACGTGTTTGGAACATTAGGTGCTGTTAGATAAATTTTTATATTTATTTTATGCCAGCAACTTGCCTTTTTTTAATTGAATTTCAGTATTAAAGAAAGTATTTTTTGTATGGGGTTTCAATTTATTTGACCTTTACAAAAAATTACCACGGACCCTTAAAGAAGTCGAGTACCTTATTTGAATAAATTTTGGTAAAAATTGCGTCAGAAAATCAAATTTTCTTGATATTTTATAATTTTCTGTCAAACAAAATAAAAATATATTTTATTTTAAGTGGGATACTCGACTTTTATCATTTTATTCACTTTTATATTTTTGATATCCAAATTATTATACTCCCATTTATTAGACCCGATGTCTACTTAAAAATGTCAAAATTTTTGACTTTTATATTAATATAAACATTTTAAATAAATAAAAATGGAAAGAAAATAATTAATCGAAAATAAATATAAAATGAAAATTTTTTTATAAAAAAATTAAAGAATATTACTATTTCCATTATTTAATTGTTCAAATTGTGTCAATTTATCTTCTTTAATTGGGCAACTTTTTATATTTTCTTCATTTGTTTGTTCATATAAATTTTGCCATTTCGATAAATTATTCCTATAATTATCCATTTTTCGACACCATTCTCTCTGAACAGCGTGGAATTGTTCAAGACTTTTTGGTTTTGTACAATTTTCTTTAAAAAATAAAATTATAATTTTTATTTAATCAAAAAAACCTCCATCAACTTTAATTAAATATTCCACTAATTTATTTTCATTCTCCAAACAAGTCCAGACACCACTCAAACTTTCAGTTAGATTTAAAAAAATTAATCCCCCATTTTTTGTTAAAATATATTTATCTGATTCAAAAACTAAAGAAAAATTTTAAATAAAAATTACAATTAAAAAACCCAAACCTTTTTCTCCATTAAAAATCCATTTAATTTTATTTTCATCTCCAAAACATTTTAAATGCAAAGAATCGCCTGGGAAAACATTTAATTCTGTCGGTTTTATTAATTCAGAACAGCTAAAAATTGAAGTTTCGTCTGTCAGCCAACCGGGGGAACTTGAATGTGTTGATTCCTTTAAAGAGAATTATTTAATTGAGAGAAACAAATTTAAACAAACCAAATAAAAGCATTCCCCTCGAGGAATTGACCAAGAACAGAAAGGGTCTAAAACACAATTTCTACAATTCTTTCCATAAGCCGAACATTGTCCAATTCTGTATTGTTCAACCTTAAAAAAAATTTTTTTTAATAATTTTCAAAAATTCTCCAAACCCTTTTTTCATTAGTTAAATAAATATATTCTCCAGGTAATATAGCCATTAAATTAATTTTTTCATTTAATTCATATTTAGCTAATAAATAAGCATTTCCTTCTTTTATTTTATGTAAAATTTTAAATAAAACATTTTCCCTTTAAAAAAAGAAATTATTTAAAACTTTCCTAAAGATTTAAACCTTTTTTCATAAACAAACAACAAAACTTTATTATTATTTTCTTTTTTCTTCTCTGTTATAATTGTTGTAGCAATTATTTTTGTTAATAATGTTTGTCCTTTATGAAAAATTGGAGTATTTCCTAATGACTGTATTTGTTCTCCCATAAGTAAATGTTGCTTAGCAAAATGTAAATCTTCATCAGAAAGTTGACGGCTATCTTCTTGACACTTTAAAAATTAAAAGAATTTTAATGTTTATGGAAGGGGAGTGGGAGGAAGATATCCCCACAATAAAGAGAGAATTTCCATCTAAAAAAAGAGAAAAAGTATCGCTTACAGTTCCAGGTCTCCTTCCTTCAATAGAAATTTGTTCAGCAGGTATAGTTGCCCAACAACCACTTTCTGCTGATTGTTGTTCCAAAAAAGGTCCATTATCAAAAACTTTATTAATTTCTAAAAGAGAAAATACACAAATTGCTGAAGTTTGGTAAGGAGTATTTTCTGCAGCAATAAATGTTGAATAAAATAAATAATTATTATTTTGATTATTCTCTTCAATTTGTGTTACACTCTCTTTAAAAATAAAAAAATATTTAAAAAAATATTTTGATTAATTTCTAACGTATTTGATTAAAAGAAAATCCATTTAAAGAACAATTTAAATTTGCTTTAACAAAAGATGTCCAAACCTTTAAAAAAATAAAAAAATAAATTTAAATATTCTCTTCCTCTCCGCCTCTTACTTGTTTCAAAACTTGTTTTCCACCCAAATCATTTTTACAAAGTCTTGCAATTCTTGAAATAACAGAACCTTTATTATTATTACAATTAGCAGCAGTTAATTGTTCCCGAAAGAAAAAATAAATATAATGACCAAAAGAAAAAGAACCGACAAATTGAGGTTCTAAAAAGGAGAAAACAATTTTTAGACTAATATCCACATACCATTTAACCAATTAGAATCATAAATTGGAGTCCGTAAAGCTGGATATATTTCTCTATTTCCTTCAAAATTCATTAAAGGAGGTCTGTAAATTAATTGATTTTCTAAAGAAAGTCCAGTTCTAATTCCAGAATAAATTGCTGGCAATCCATTCGGATTTCCTTCTTCAACATAAATAGCCGTTGTATTTAACCCTTCATGTTGGGAACAAATACCAATTTGTGTATGTAATTCTTGTTTATCTAAAAGAGAATTTCCATCTACTAAACCTAATTGAGGTTTCATTGATTGACTTGAACAAAACTTAAAAAAAAAAGAAAATAATTATTTTAAACAATTTACCAATAAATCTCCATTAGATTTAATAAATATTTGTTTAATCCAAAAATCACATTCTCTTTCACTATTTCCCATTTTTAAACATTCTTCCCTTTCTTCTAAATTTATTTCAAATTTTCTATGGGAAAACTATAAATATTTAAATTTAAAAAAAAATATTTTCTTTTTAAATTACCAAATTATTTGAAAAAGTATCGTTAATATTAAATAACCAAAGACGAAATAAATTCCCCTTAGCACCAACATAAAGAGAACCAAGTTTTGAATTGATAATAATTGGACCAAAAGAAGGTAAAAAATTATTTTGTTTGTTGACAACATTCCAAGTAAAAATATTATCTGTTTAAAAAAATAATGAAAGGGATTAAAAAAAGAGTAAATCTAACCTGGATATATTTTTAAATTTAAACTGTTACATAAATTAATAAAAATAAATAAAATAAATAAATTTACAATTAACATAATTTAAAATTGATAAAAATTCTAAAAAATTTTTGTTAAATTTTACGGCATTCGGACAGTGAATATCCAAAAAAGAGAAGAAATAATGTGTGTTTATGGAAAGGATGTGGACTATAGAAGAAGAAAAGCGGTCGATGAATGGACAAGTAAAAAGTAAACCTCGCGAAAATATAAGAGAAATGAAAGGGGCGATCGAATATAAAAGAGAAAATATACCAAAAAATTTATGGGTATTTTTTCAGGGTCATTAAAATTAATTTTCAAATAATTTTTTTTCAAAAAATTATTTTTAGTTGGAATTTAAAATTAATAAAATATATCTATTCATTTTAGAAAACTGGAAAAAAAAATTTAAGTAATGGAAAGGAAAAAAGGGCCGTCAATAACCCCCTTTTTCTTTAAATATTAAGGCTTTTCCAATTTTTGGCAAAACTGTTGAAATTTAGGAAGGAAAAGGAGTAACAATAAAAGAATGTAAAAGACGTCTTTTTAAAGCTAGACAAAAAATGTCCATTTATTTGTAAAAAATATTGACCAAAGAAAGGACAAAAAAATATTTTTTAAAATTTATTTTTTTTAAATATAAAAACAAATAATTTATTTATTGACTTACTAGGAATTGACAAAAAAAATAATCTTTTTTGAAAATTTCTTGAATAATTAAAAAATTAAGAGAATTTAATCACAATAAAATTTTTTATTAAAGTCAAATTAAGTTTGTTTTTAATCTCCCAAAAATTGTTTTGCAAATAAAAATCTAAAAAGAATTTTCTTTTTAAATTCCCAAAAAAACATACCAAGTTGGTGATTGTTGATTATTGGCAGTTAACATTAATTTAGCCAATTCTAATCGATCATCAATTGATTTTAATTCAACCATATCAAAAAGATCTGGTCGCCGAACTTCAAATTCTTCCAAACAATCCATTATTTGATTTTTGTTATTTTTTGTTAAATCTTTATTTAAAACAGGGTTTTCGTCATTTGGCCTTTGTGGTTGTAAAAGTACTGAAGAAATATTTAAAAAATATTTTTTAAAAATAAATATACCTGATTGTTGTTGTTCTTCATTTGATTGAATTTTTAAAGGTAATAAAATATTTGTTTCAACTCTCCTTTCAATTTTTTGATTATTTTCCAAATTAAAAAATGATGGAGAAGACGACGATGAAAATGAATTCTTTACAAGGCCCCCAGAAGGAATTGGAGTAATTTGATCAATTTTTGAATTTAAAACTTCACAAGAACTTTAGAAAAATTTAAAATAATTAAATTTAAAAATAAACAAAAACCTTTCTTTCTCGGATTTAGAAGTTATTGAATTCTTATTATTTGCTACTTCTGAATGTAATTGTTGTTCTTGTTCATATTTTTCAATAGTAAGCCTTTCTCGATCAAATTTGTACTAAAAATTATTTCCAAAAATATTCATAATTAAAAACCTTATATTCTTTTAAATCAGGTATTTCTAAATTTGGAAGATTAACTGTTGGTGGAGGATAAAAAGCAAAATTAATTTCCATAGGCAAATCACAAATAAAATCTAATTTAAATAAAAATTCCTAAAATAATCTTTTTTTGTAAATTTCTACCTAAAGGCGTTCGACATCCACACATTGATAAAAGAAATATTTTTAACTAGAAGAGCATAAATAAAATAATGAATTTAAAAAATTGAGAAGGAATCGATGAAAAAACTAAAAAAAAAGTCAAAAAAATAACTGTTCTGGATAAATTGTCATTTATAAATTAAAAACATTTTGCAAATAAATTTAAAAATAAGGAAATTTAAAATATACAGCAACGGTTGAGTCCCCGAGTAACATTTAGTGTTTTCAGCCTTTTCGAATTCGAATCCTTTATCATTCGACTTGATGAAAAAAGGGAATCAATATATTTAAAGCTTTCGGTTGATATCAGATTTATTTGAAATGATTGAAAACTTAAAAAGTTATGAATCGAAATATGACTTGGAACTCATCCGTTTAGGACACAAATGTCATTTCAACGCCAATCTCATTGAAAGAAGACTTTAGAGTCTCCTAGTAGAGTTCGCCAACTAAAATCAATCAAATTTAATTTCCATAGCAAAGAGGTTGGTTCTTAATTAAGCGTGTTTTACGGAAAATTCTTACGCATTTCATGCTCAAGTTAATTACTTTTACAAGTGAACTTACTTTATTGTTTTATTTTTTTCTTCCTTTTCTCTTTTTCCGTCCTTTTTTTATGTTTTTGATATATATTTATTTTTTCCATTGTACTGAGTGTCCTTTTTTTCATAAAGGGCGCAATGAAGTTACTTGACAATGAGAAACTTGATGAAATAGCTACAACAATTTCGCGAAATGCTCAGGATTTGCTTTTGGATCTTCGGTAAATTCGAATAATTTAAAAACAAAAATTTCCAATCTACTTTACATAGATTGGAATCCTACTCTTGCAAAATGGTGACAAGCGACAAAAAGGAATGGAAAAAGAGCATAAAATGTCCAGTAGATGGCCGTGAATTACAACCGCTTTCTCCGCCAGAAGAATCGGTTTTGTCTTCATCACCAAATTTAACATCAGTGCGATTGAGGTAGAAATTCTTTACATTTTTTTTAATTTTTTTGTTAGACATTTATCCGAAATGAGCAACTCTGGATTTTCTGACAATGATACAGAGGAAAGTGGTGGTTGTGGTGACAATGTTATTTTGGTTGAAGCAATCTCAAAACGGTAACAATTTTGTATGACCGTGAAAATTCTGGCATATGTTAGAGAGATTATCCTTTTCCGGATTGTTGATTTTTGTAGAACTGAATAAAAGCAGAAACTGAATAAAATCTATTTTTTAATACCTGAGGCAAATTAGGAGTAACAGTCCAACCAAAATATCTCTCCTTTCAATTGTAAAATTCTTTTTAAAAACTATATTTTAGAACTCTTTTCAATATTTTGGCTTTATTAAATCAATGCTATCCAGATTATGATTTTTCACAAACGAAGAGTGCTTCTTTCAGGAAAGTTACTTACCAGGTAATTGCTTGCTTTTATTTAATTTACATTATAATTAATTCAGGATTGTATAGTTAGTGTTGATGGAAAGCTTGTGGCAACTGTTCATAATTACGGACTTTTACGCGACATTCTTTGGCGTACTATCGAAGATTCAATAAAAATTGACGAATGTTGCATTTATAGGTTTTTTTGAAAATTATTTTTCGATTTTTTTTTATTTTTTTTAGTTACATTCCTCAATATTGTGGTGATCCTTTTACAGAGGATGGATGTATTTGGTCTTTCAATTTTTTCTTTTTTAATAAGGTCTAAATTAATTTAAATTATTTTAATTTAATTGACATTAAGACACTTAAACGCTTTTTGTTTTTTGCTTCTCGTGCACTCTGCAATGAACGTATCCTGCGTCAGCCAATTCATGAACAAGTAGAGCGTGAGGTGGAAACACCGCCAAGCATTTTTGGGATGCAAGTTTAAAAAAGTTTTCTTTGGCAATTCTGCTTAGATTATATATATAATCATCTCATTAATTTTATCAAAAAATATTTCTCCAATTTTTTGGAAAGAATTTTAGTTTTTTATGTACCAAAATTTATTATAATATACCTTGAAAAACGATCTACATTTATATTTAAACACTTGGCCGTAACTAAATTTTAAAAATTTCATGGAAAATTTAAATTTTTTATTAATACCTCAAAATTTTTTTCTTTTTTACGGCCCAGTGAATTAATTGATGAAAATAGTATTACTTAACCACATTAGGGAATGGACTTGTAAATACTGGAATCTTTTTTTCCTTTAGTCAGTCCATTTCTTAAATACAACATTTTTCTTCCCTCTGATTTGCCTCATATAAACTGAATTACCAGAAATCCTTTACATTAAAATATACTCAAATGCTTAATCTCATCTTTAAAAGAAATTTATTTTATCTATTTTATGCAAAAAATCATACCTCAATTTTTCGTTGAAAATTAAATATTTTTAAGAGAATCAAAAAAATTAAATGATTTTATGCATTTTATCCTTTCATTGTATTTAGTTTTATTCATTTAATCTATGCGCGCAATTATCATTTCTTTATCGTAAAATTGTCTCTTTTAGTGCTAGTTTTACATCTTTGTGTGAATAAATGTATAGAATTTAATTTATATTTTATTTTTATGTTTAAGACATTTTAATATATTTTGGGGTTTTAATTATTTTTTTAAATTTAAATAAGAAATGACTGAAGATAATAAATTGAATGAAAATGAGATAAAAATTGCTCCTGTTCAGTATGCTTATTTAGACCATACTGCGGATGTTCAATTACACGCTTGGGGTGATTCTTTAGAAGAGGCTATTCAACAATTGGTTGTTTCGCTTTATGGTTTGTAATTTTGATATATTTTCTATTCAAATATTGCTTTATAAGCATTACAATTCCAAGTTTAGGTTATATGACATTGGAAATCTCGTCTGTACAACCAACTTATTCTATGGACTTTACTGCTAGTGGACATGATCTATTTTCATTGCTCTATAATATTTTGGATACCTGTCTTTACAATTTTTCGACAGAGCCATTCTTTATTGGTTCTTCAGCAAAAGTTCTTGATTTGAATTGCCACGACGTTTCTTCAGAGACTAAAGAATTTTCGGTATTTATTTAATTTAAGATTTTTTTTCAATTTTACTTTCAGATACATTTACGTGTTTGGGGGCAATCATTCGATTTGAAAAAGCATCCGCCTGGGACTGAAGTTAAGGCTATTACTTACTCTAATATGCAGATAATTGTTGGTGAACGGAGGTTAAATCAAAGTGGAGAAGAAAGTCTAAGAGTTTTAAATGACGAAAAAAGTAATAAAACAGAAATATTTGTGATTATTGATATTTGACATAAAATATTTTTTTTATAAATTTAAAGTTTTGAAAACAAAAGTGTGTTTTTAATACATTTATATTTATTGATTTATTTTAATTTCTTTTTGATTAAATGTCTTTATTTCTATAGCAAAAAGCTTGAAATGCCTTCAACATTGAACGTTGCAAAGAAAGTTTTCAAAAGGAAATTAGAACAATTTAGGCGTGGTGACCGTAACAAGAAACAGAAAAAATTAGATGAAGAACAATTATTCAATGGGGAGGATTCGACTATTTTAGAACAAGATGAAGAAGATGGACAAGAATGCAAAAATGTGGAAGAACAAGCTGAGGAAAATGTTGAAGAAAAGGTTCATACAATAGAATCTACTTGTTTATGTTTTTATTAATTCTTTAGAACGCCGATTCTGAGGATATGCAGCAAAAATCGACAACTTTTGTTGAGCCTGCAATATCTTCATCAATTCTTACGGATATAACATTCCGCTCATTTGAAGGTCGTGTAGCTGCTGCAACTTTAAATGCTATAGATGACATGGGGTTCACAAGGATGACAGAAATACAAGCAAGGAGTATTCCACCGCTATTAGAGGTTTTGTCAATGTTTATAAGATTGTAAAAAACGTCGGTCTATTTCGGTTTAGGGTGTTGATGTTCTTGGAGCGGCAAAAACGGGAAGTGGAAAAACATTGGCTTTCCTTATACCGGCTATTGAACTTTTGATTCGTGCAGATTGGAAACAGCAATATGGTTTGGATTTTTTCTTTTGTAAATGAAAAGTTTTATTAGGTACTGGAGTAATTATTATTTCACCCACTCGTGAACTTTCAATGCAAACATATGGGTTTGAATTTGTTTTCTTTTTAATTTTTATTTTTGAATTTAGAGTTCTTTATGAACTTTTGGAGAAACAACCATATTTATCTCATGCTCTTGTTATGGGAGGTGCAAATAGACAAACGGAGGAACTAAGGCTTTCTAAAGGAGTTTCTATCCTGGTTGCAACACCTGGACGTTTACTCGATCATTTACAGGCATTTTTTAATTTTTTTCAGAAACTAATTTGTTTAGAATACTCAAAGTTTTGTGGTTAAAAATCTTCGTATGCTTGTTGTAGACGAGGCGGATAGAATATTTGACATTGGGTTTGAACAGGAAATGCATCAAATTGTCCGTTTATTACCCAAAAAACGCCAAACTGCTTTGTTTTCTGCTACATGTTCGGCCAAAGTTGAAGAATTAGTTCGTGCTGCATTGCGAACAAATCCTCTCAAAATTGGTGTTATGGAGCAGAGAGCAGAAAGTTTAACAGATTCTAGCTTAAATGATTTAGCAACTCGAGAAGGATTGGAGCAGGTATTTTATAAAAATTATAAAATAATATTTTCGATTATCTGAAAACAGGGTTATGTCGTTTGTTCGTCAGAAAAGCGTTTTCTTTTGCTCTTCACTTTTCTTAAAAAGAACAAGTCGAAAAAGGTAAATATTCTCTCAATTTTCTTTACAAGGGCAACCTTTTTTAATATTTTTCAGATAATGGTTTTCTTCTCATCATGTGCTTCTGTTCGATTTCATCAAGAATTACTTAATTTTATTGATCTTCCTGTTTTAAGCATTCATGTTTGTTTTTATTTAATTTTTAAATTTTTTTTCATTCAGGGCAAACAAAAACAACAAAAAAGAACTTGTACTTTCTTTCAATTTTGCCGAGCAAAGACTGGTACTTTGTTATGTACAGATGTCGCCGCTCGTGGTTTAGACATTCCTTCTGTTGATTGGATTGTTCAAGTATTTTTAATTTTTATATTTTGCAAATGAAAATTTTAGTATGATCCACCAGACGAGCCCCGCGAGTATATTCATAGAGTTGGCCGAACAGCTAGAGGAGAATCTGGAACTGGAAATGCCCTTTTAATTTTGAGACCTGAAGAGCTTGGATTTTTGCGTTTCTTAAAGGTGATTTGTTTTTATTAAAACATTTTTGGGACTTATTCGTCACTAATTGTAAGTCTTGTTTACATATACATAAGTCTAAAAACCCACATTTTGCTAACAATAAGTCTAAAAACCCACGTTTTGCCAACAAGGCTGCCTTTATTGAAATAAATTTGAGGATTTTTCCCTTATTGGCATAAAGTGGGTGAGCTAATAAGGAAAGGGAAAATGTGGACGGTCAACACATAAATTTCCGTTTTTCAAATAATAAATTGTTTTAGGCAGCTAAAGTAACATTAAATGAATATGAATTTTCTTGGAATAAATTAGCAAATATTCAACCTCAATTAGAACGTTTAATTTCACAAAATTATTATTTAAATAAATCAGCAAAAGAAGCATATAAAGGCTATATTCGTTCTTATGATTCTCATTCACTTAAACAAATTTATGATGTTAACAATTTAGATTTAATTAAAGTAATATTATTTAAACAATTATTTTTTCAAAATTTATTCTTTTAAAGGTTTGTAAATCATTTGGTTTTGAAGTACCTCCGTTTGTTGATTTACCAATTTCCAATCGTTCAAAACTTGAAAAAGCCATTGCTAAAAAATCTGAAATACAAAATAGACAAAAACCGTCAGTTAAAACTGAAAAAGAATTTGTACCTTTAAAAAGGAAAGATAAGGGAAGAAAAGTTTTTAAACAAAATAAGAAAATGAAAGTTTAGAATTTTAATTTTTTTTTGTTAATGAAATAAATTTTTGTTTTTATAAATTTTGTAAATTATAAATTTTGGTCAATTTTTAAATATTTGGAAAAATTTATTTGTTTTTTGAAAATAATTAAGGTTAATATAGGTAGTTGGCTGGTAAATATAAATTTTGACCTTATTAATTAAAAATGTCATCTGCTTGTGATAACATGACAGATGAGGAGTGTGAGGAGGTTTTTTTTGTATAAATAATTAAATATTTATATTTCAAGGCGATTAAACGTTTTGCTGAAATGACACAAGTAGATGAGGGGTTGGCACATTTTTTGTTGCAGGAAAGTGATTTTGACATTAATGTTTGTTATTCTATAATAATTATTTAAAAAATAATTCTAAAATTTAGCGTGCTTTAACTGAATTTTTTAATAATAGCAATCAAACTTTGCCGACTTCAAGTAATAGTAAAGAAGTTGATGTTGAAGTGGTAACTGGAGTTGATGAACCAAAAATGAATAACAAACGGTTTTTAATTTTTATTCAAAAATATTTTTTAATAATTTTAGGGCATATAAAGACGAGGAAGTTTTTCCATCAGAATTAACACTTCTTTCTTGGAATGTTGATGGACTCGATGATCGTCAGAGAGAAAAGCGCTTTACCGCTGCTCTTTATATTATTGCGAAGTAATTATGTTTAATAAAAAAATTTTTAAAAATTAATTTAGAACAAATCCAGAAGTAATTTTCTTGCAAGAAATGGTTGAACCTTTAATGCCTCAACTTAATGGATTAGTAGGATTTTATTTTTTATAAAAAAGAAAAGCTAAAAAGGGAATGATGTTAATTTTTTTAAATGTTTTGGAAAGGGGGTTTTCGATTTCAATGTTGGTTTATTTCTACCCTTAACCATCAATACTTTTTTTGAGTTTCACATTTAAAATATTTTTTAAAGATGTCTCCAATGTACAACACTTTTATTCAAAAACCAAATTGTGGATATTTTTGTATAACTTTGGTTAGCAAGGTATTCTTAAAAATTAATTTTTATATAATTTTTCTAATTTTTTAAATAGAATATTAAAATAATAAAAGATGAATTTATTCCTTTTGATAATACAACAATGGGTAGAGGAATGTTAATTGTTGAAGTATATTTTTAATTTAACATTTTTAATTTTTAAATTGAAAAGGGCATTTGGCAAAATTTAAAGATAAATCTTTTAAATTCGCATTTGGAGTCTACAGCTGATTATTCAAATGCTAGAAGTTCTCAATTTGCTAAATGTCTTGAACAAATTGAGTTAATGACAAAATCTGATGAAACGCTTGCAATTTTTGGTAAAAATTGATTTTTTCAAATCTGAGATATAATTTAAAATTTAAAGGTGGAGACTTGAATATTCGCGATAAAGAGGTTAATTTTTATAATTTAACCGTAAATTTTATTTAAAGGTTGGGAATTTGCCAGAATCAATTAAAGATGCCTGGATAGAAGCAGGTTCACAACCTCAATATCGTTATACATGGGATCTTAAAAGGAATGATAATTATGCGGGAAGATTTGGAAAAGGACAGGTTTATTATTTTAAAAAATACTTTGAAAAAATTCTTTTTTTCAGCCTCGTGCTCGTTTTGATCGGATTCTTTTTAAAGGGCCTCCACAGACAAAAGTTGATTTTAAATTAGAAGGAATTAATCGAATTAAAGGTTTAAATTGTTTTTTAAAATTTTATTTAAAAATTTTTTAGGTCCAAATTGTTTTGTGAGCGACCATTTCGCGCTGATTTGCCGTTTCTTAGTTAAAAAGTTTTTTTTAAATAAAAAATTTTAGATAAATTTATATTTTTTAAATAATTTTAATTTTTTAGTCCAGAGAATGTTGCTCTTTCAAATGACTTAATAATCTCGAAAAAATCTAAACAATCAGATGAGGCCGATGAAAAATAAATATTTTTACTTTGATTCTCAAAGAAATTTTTGTAACCCAGATATACTTAAAATTAAATTATTTAAATTAAAAGACATTTTTATAAAATGTTTAAAAAGAACTTTTTGTTTTCTTCTTTTGTACCTTCAAAGATAAGAAGGGTGGGGGTCTAGTATGCCAACTAGAGATCGGACCGAGACGGGATCTCGATTCTCGTACGACATTCCCTTAAGTCTCTAGCATAAAGTATTCATAAATTTGCAATTTAAATTCGTTTGGCGTTACGTTTTATTTGCTATTTAATCCAATATTTTTTTCTCTAATTTGTTTTCTTTTTACTGAAATTTTGTCAGCATTTTTTGATTTTTTAAAATAATTTGATTAAATTCAACAATCTTAAAGCCAATTTTTAAAATTATTTTATCTTATTTTCTCTATTTGGTAATAAGTTTGACTACTGAGGATTTTTCGGTTCAGTTTCGGATATCTGAATATTTTCCATTAACAGGATAACAATTAATTTTGACTTTATTTTTCAGAATTTTTTAATATTAAATATGGGACCACCAACAAATTCAAATTCTTGCGAAACAATGATTGCACAGCCAATTCAACCTTATAAAACAAATGAAGCCAGTACTCTTCGTCAGTATTATACTTCAAAAATTCAGGAAGCAAAGCAGCAACTTACTGAAAAAATGCAAAATGTTCGAAGACTTCAGGCTCAGCGGAATGAAATGAATAATAAGGTTTTTGTGAAAGAAAATATTTTTAAATGTTATAATTATTTTGAAGGTTAGAATGTTAAAGGAAGAATTATCAAAACTTAATGAACAAGGCTCAAATGTTGGAGAAGTTGTCAAGGTTATGGACAAAAAGAAAGTTCTTTCGAAGGTTTTATTTGAAATTATTTTTTATTTAGAAAAATTATTTAGGTTCATCCCGAAGGGAAATATGTTGTTGATATTGACTCTTCAGTTGACCTAGTTAAGTTGACTGCTGGCTGCAGAGTTGCTCTACGGGCTGATAGTTATGCTTTACACATGGTTTTGCCAAATAAGGTGAATATTTTATTGGTAAAGATATGGATTATTGGTCCTTTTATTTTTTCTACATTGAATTAACAGTTTTTAGATTAGATGGGGCAATCCATTTATGGATTTTAGGAGCTTTGGTGTGATGTCGGAAATCTTTGGCATTTCGAACGCAAATTTTTTATGCGTATTTTATTTTTTCCTCATAGGTGCAATTTCTAAAAATTTTTCAAGGCCGTAGACGGAAAAATTCTCAGCTTTGAAAATAATAAAGTTATAAAAATTTAATTTTATAAGATTTGACTTTCAGGTTGATCCACTTGTTAGCTTAATGATGGTTGAGAAAGTACCTGATTCAACTTATGAAATGATTGGAGGGTTAGATAGTCAAATTAAGGAGATGAAAGAAGTTATTGAGTTGCCAGTTAAGCATCCAGAATTATTTGAAGCGTTAGGAATTGCACAACCTAAGGTTTCAATTTCTCTTTCAAAAATTAATTTGAAAATTCAACTTTTGAGAAATTAAGTTTAACTATTTAGGGCGTTTTGCTTTATGGTCTTCCTGGTACCGGCAAAACTCTTTTGGCTCGTGCTGTCGCACATCACACTGAATGTACTTTTATAAGAGTTTCTGGCTCTGAACTTGTCCAAAAATTTATTGGTGAAGGTGCACGTATGGTTAGAGAACTTTTTGTGATGGCTCGGTAAAAAGATTTTTTAAATTTTCTTGTAATTATTCGCTTTTAAGTGAACATGCACCTTCTATCATTTTTATGGATGAAATTGACTCGATTGGATCATCGCGAGTTGAGGGCAGTCATGGGGGAGATTCTGAAGTTCAGCGAACAATGCTTGAATTACTTAATCAATTGGATGGATTTGAAGCAACAAAAAATATTAAAGTAATTATGGCTACAAATCGAATTGATATTTTGGATCCAGCATTGCTTCGACCTGGTTAAATAAAATTTTTGAGAAAGAAATAATTTTTATTTAAAGGTCGAATTGACAGAAAAATCGAGTTTCCGGCACCTGACGAGAAGGCACGTTTGGACATTTTGAAAATCCATTCTCGTAAAATGAATTTGATGCGTGGCATAAATTTAAGTAAAATTGCTGAGTCTATTAAAGGAGCTTCTGGGGCAGAGGCTAAGGTTTTTTAAAGTTTTTTATTTAAATTTTTATTTAAATCTTGAAGGCTGTTTGTACTGAAGCGGGAATGTTTGCACTTCGAGAACGTCGGATACACGTTACACAAGAAGACTTTGAAATGGCAGTTGGTAAAGTAATGGCAAAAGACCAGGAAAAGAATATGTCGTTAAAGAAATTATTTAAATAAATTTAAAATTGTGTGAAATTTTTTTGTTTTATTTTTAAGAGAAAATTAAGACAATGAAAAAAAAAGTAAAAAAATAATTGTCCTTTCATTTAAATATACTTTTTTTTGGTTTTCACCTCATAATGAAATTGTAATATTGGAAATATTATTTTGTGTAAAGACTTTGTCTAATATATTTTTTTGAGAAATTTTTCTAAATTAAGATTTTTTGGTTTGTTGGAAATTTTTTGTAATTTTAAGGGAAGTGGATAAAGAAATATTTTAGATGTTAGTTAAAAATAATTTTGAGTTTAAATACTGTTTTAAGGAAAGATTAGAAATAGCTATAAAAATTCAAAATATCCATCTTTATAATTTGAATTTGTCGTTCGTTTTGATTTTCTGTTCAAATTTAGATTTATTTTTGAAAAAATAAAATTTTTGAGATTCTAATGTTAATTTATTTTTTAGATTAAAAATGAAGTATTTAACCTATTTTGGATATATTGAGACAGACTTCGAATTAGAAAAACCAACAGAAGAAATTAAAATAACAATTGTTGATAATCTTTCAAAGTAAATTTTAACAAAAATATTTTTTTAATTTAAAATTTATTTTAGTAAAATTGTTGAATTTACTCTTCCAGCTACAGTTATTGAACAAATTGGAGTAACAGAGCAACATATATTATTTTTGGATGATGCAAGAAGTGGTTATATTTGGTTATATAAAATGAAGGAAGAGGTTTTTTTGATTAAAGATTTAAAAAAAAATTTTTAAAGTCACTTTTTGTTCTTCCACTTGGTTTACCTTCTGAGGCTGGAAGAGATATTGAAAAGAATTTGTGTTTGAGACCACCTATGTTCTTACCTTTTAAGGATATTACAATCAAAAGTAGAAAAATGGAAGAAAATGACAATAATGATAATATTTTGCTAAATAAATTTGAGGCTAGATTCTCTCATTGGGAGGATTACCAAAAATTAGGTAAAGAATTTTTAGCCTTTTTTTGATTTTTTATTTAAAATTTGTCTTACTAAACAACCATCCAAATAACCTCTTATAACGTTAATCCTTCACTCATAAGAACTCTCCCCTGTAAATCCTTCCCTCACTCTTTAAACTTAATTTCAATTTTAGGTCCAAACCCTCCATTAAGTTCACCTCCTGCTCGCCGTTTATTAGCGTGTACATCCTTTGGTGCTTTTCTAGTAATTAATTATCGTTGTGTTAGTTGCTCTTTGTGCTCCGTTTTGCGTTGTTTATATAAAAATGAAGTAAATTTTAATTTTAAAATTATTTTTATTTTTTTAGTCTCCACTTTTTTATGACAAATCAGTTGAAAATTATGATCAAGAAAGTTTCAATTTATTAATTGAAAAAGATCCTTCTTCCCCCTACTCTTTTATTAAAATGCCTTTTCATGTTAGAAAGGTAAAAAAATTAAATAAAAATTTACAAATTTTAAAATAGTTAACGGCTGGGAATGACCATTTAGCTTTGTTTAACCCTCTTGGACATGTCTACACTCTTGGAACGGGAACACGGGGAGAGTTGGGACATGGATGTATAGAACAAGGACAATGGACAGAACCGAAGTAAGGATTTTTTTGGAAATAAAATTGATAAAATAAATAAGGGGGGGGGGTTATTTTAGGGAATAATTAAGAAGAGGTAATTCATTCAAAAATTAACATTCTGTTTATTTTTAAAGAATTATTTCGGATTTGGCAGATGCTGGAATACACGTGACAGATTTATCCTCTTCTTTATGGCATAATATTGCTTTAACTGATGAAGTAATCTGAAAAAATTTAAATAAAACAATTATATTTAAATTTAGGGAGATATTTATGGTTGGGGATGGAATGGTTATGGACAATTAGGAATTTTGCCTGAAGAATGTTCAATACAACCAACTCCATATCCTTTTGATTTGCCTGATATTTTAGATGAAAAGGTAATAATTTAAATTAATAAAAATGTTTTTTTTTAATTTATAGGTAGAAAGTATTAATTGTGTTGGAAATAATTCTTTTATTAAATTCTCAAATGGAAAGAATTTTTGTTTTGGGGAATTAGGTAAGAAAAAGTTTTTTTTAATTATTTAATAAAATTAGTATATTCTTCTGACATTCAAAATATAATGTTTTTTGTCTCTCTCTCTTTTTACCACTCTATTTTACAATAACTTATAGTTTGAGTCCAATTCTTTAAATGTCCACATTTCGATAAAATAATTTAATTTATTTGCTGCTTTTAGAAAAATCTTATATGGATTCTAAAGAATTGGAAGGGGATGCTTCCACATCAACAATAAAAGATTTTGAATCTGATGATCAGCCAGAAATGAAACGTGCTAGACATCCTAAATATTTACATGTTGCTGTAGCTGGTTGTTCTCATGGTCAAATGGATACAATATATGAACGGTTTTTTGATTTTTTTTTAAACAATATTAAAATATAAACTTTAGTTTAACAAATGTAGAAAAACAAAGAAATGTAAAATTTGACTTACTTTTATGTTGTGGGGATTTTCAAGTAATTTTATTTAAAAATATTTTTTTATTATAAATAATTAAGGCAATTCGAAATCATGGAGATCTTCATTATTTTCATGCTCCGCCTCATCATCGTAAACTTGGAACATTTTACAAGTATTATAGTGGAGAAAAGGTTTTTCTTTGATAAAATGAAATCTCTCTAATACGTCTCCCCACTCTCACATTTCATTTCCATTTACAGTCCAGAGTGGAGACATATTCCTTTGTATTATTTCTAAAATAATTATTTTAGACAGCCCCCATTCTTACTTTATTTATTGGAGGAAATCATGAAAGTAGTGGTTATATGGCTGAATTACCTTATGGAGGTTGGGTAGCACCGAATATTTGGTATATGGGCTACGCTTCGGTTAAATATTTTTTTTAGAAATTTCTTTTAATTTTTCTTTAGGTCATTCGATTTGCCGGTTTACGTATTGCTGGGCTGTCGGGAATTTTTAAATCAAATGATTACAATAAGGGGCATTTTGAACGTCCACCATTTCAAGAACATGGTTCTGTTGTTTCTGCTTATCATGTTCGTTCAATAGATGTTTTTAGATTGAAACAATTGAGAGGTTTTTTTTGAAATATTATATTTTTTATATTTTTTGGAAAAGATTCTAAAATTGATATTTGTATGTCTCATGACTGGCCGGCAGGAATTACTGACTTTGGAGATTGTAATTGGTTATTGAAAAGAAAACCGTATTTTGCTGAAGATATTCAATTTAATAGACTTGGAAATCCGGCAACAATGAAGTTATTTTATTTTAGTTTTTTAATCAAATATTATTTAGTCTTCTTCATGAATTAAAACCTTTGCATTGGTTTGCAGCTCATCTACACGTTCGTTTTACTGCTGTTGTACATCATAATAAAGATGATGAAGAGAAAGGAACTCAAACAGATGAAATAAAATCTTCGATAAATTCTTCTCGAGTTACAAACTTTTTGGCCTTGGACAAACCTATGGGCAATGATAATCGACGTAGATTTTTGGAATATATTGATATACCTATTTCTGAAGGTTTGTTAATTTTTAAAATTAAATTTTTTTTTCTTTCAGATTCTTCTATGGAATTGTGTTATGATCCTATATGGCTTGCTATACTTCGAACAACAGATCATTTAACAAAATTTACGGACCGTGTTTGTTTTTCTTTTTTTAATTCGTGATTTAAAATATTTTTTTTAGTTTATTAATTTACCTCTTGAAACACCATCAAAAAATGTTGAGGAAAAAACAACAGAACGTTTCGACTTTCGCCCAACAAAAGAAGAATTAGAAACTGTCAATACTTTATTTTCTTCTGATTTTCATATTCCTTTAAATTTTCAACGTACAGCACCGCCAGAAATTGAACCATTTATAGGCAAAGGAAAACCTAATCGACAACCTAGTTTATATTATAGGTTACCCAGTTTTTATTTTTATTTTAACAAATTTTTTTAAAAGAAATCCTCAAAGTCAACAATTTTGTGAAAAACTTGGAATTCAAGATTTAAATCTTCAATTTGCTCAAGCTTCAGTAAATTTCCTTGGAATTCCTTATTTTCTTTCCGAAAATACACAATCATTGATTAGTGAGGAAATTAGTTCAAAAACAACGAATGAATCAACAAATAATGGAAAGAATCCAGAAGAAATTGATTTGGAAGAAGATGAGGTAAGAAAATTATATTTAAATTTAATTATATTTTTTGTTAGTTTGGTCAAAATGATTTTATTGTTGATGTTAAAGGTTCTTTAAAGAATTCAGAGAATGATGAAAAATAATTTATTAAAATATTTAATTTTATCATTAATTATTTTTTGTTTGTATTTTCTTCAATTTTTTAAATTTTAATTCAATAAATAATTTTTTTTAAATTTTATTTTTGCTATTTGTATATTTTCTTTTTCAATATTTTAATTTTTCAAAATTAATTTTTAAGAGATAAAGATATTTGGATTCCTTATACATATATAAGATTCTATATTGAAAAAAATATGGCAAGCGATAAAGAAGAGTCAGAATCAGAAATGAGTGAGGAAGCAGAAAGTAGTTTATCTACAAAGGCTGCAGATTCCTCTCAACCATCAAAAGCTGAACAGATGATGCGGGTTAGTTTAATTTTTAAAAAGTTTGTAATTGTACTTGTTTTTTTAGATTATGGGATGGCAAGAAGGTAAAGGGCTTGGAAAGCGAGAACATGGGGAAGTTGAACCGGTTTCTGTCAGACAAAAAGTTGGGAGAACGGCTCTCGGTTTTGATTCTAAATCTTCACAGGTTTGTTTATCTTTTATTTAAGATATTATTTCTTATTGAAGGAATTGGCTGAAATTGATTTTGATTCCGTTTCTGAAATAAAATCTGTTGTAGAGACGCCAACCTGGTTGGTTTGTTCAGAGGAAAATAGAAATCTTTTACTCAACAATTTGAATGACGACTGGATTATTGTTGGAAAGGTTTGTTACTTCTCCGTTTATCCCTGCTTACAATTAATATTAAAATTTAGCCAAAAATGCGTATCGATGACGAAGACCGTTATTGTTCACAAGAATTATTAACTCAATTATTGGAATCAAAAGATTTCTTTGATACTGTTGACCACAGAGTTCTAGATGCTGTTAAGTTTTTAGTTTAATAATCCGTTTTGACATTTTTTTTAATTTTAGGCCCGTGCCAGAGCAAATCCATATGAAACAATTAAAGCTGGATTTTTCCAGAATAGGTTGTTATTTAATTTTTATTTAAAAAATACTTTTTATTTTTTTAGAGCAGCAATGAAAATGGCAAATTTAGATAAAATATTTGGTTGGCGACTTAGTTGGGAATTTGTGGACAAATCAAGGCTTGCGAAGAATCCATTGGAAAAAGAAAAACAACGAGAAAATGTTGATAGGTATAATTACATATTTCCTTTTTTTCTCAAAATATCAGTCATAGAAATTCTTATAGAAATTTTATTTTAAAATTTCTTATTTTTATAAAAATATTTCCCTTTTTAGACAACGTTCTCTTTTTTATTTTGCTGATGTCTGTGCTGGTCCTGGTGGTTTTAGTGAATATATGCTCTGGAGAAAAGGTTATTACAATTCTAAAGGTTTTGGATTTACATTGACAGGTATTTTTAAATTAAAAAAAAATTTTTAAATTTATTTTTTAAGGTCGTGATGATTTTAAATTGGAAAGATTTGAAGCAGCATCTTCAGAATATTTTGAACCTTATTACGGAATTAAAGAGGATGGAAATGTTACAGATCCAGAAAATTTGGAATCTTTAAATCAATTTTTAAATGAAAGAATACATTCAACCGAAAAGGGTAAAGAAAATATTTTTTGGTCTTTAAATTAATCCTTGGAGTATTTTGCTTTATTTTCTTTAAATATTAAAACTTTTTGTTTATTTAAGCACATCAAAATACTTTCCTTTAATTTTCAATAAATTAAATAGGTGTTCATCTTGTAATGTGTGATGGAGGTTTTTCTGTTCAAGGCCAAGAAAATATTCAAGAAATTCTTTCTAAACGTTTATATCTTTGTCAATTTATTACAGGCCTTTCATTATGTCGTGTTGGGGTAAATTAATTAAATAAAATATTTTTTTCGAAATTTAATTTTAAGATAAAAACAGAAACAGGGGAAATACAAGGAGGAAATTTTTTGTGTAAACTTTTCGATGTTTTTACGCCTTTCTCTATGGGATTAATTTATTTAATGTAAGTACTATTTTAATTAAAAAAATAATTTTTATTTAATTTCTAAAAGGTATGTTTCTTTTGGTAAAATATCAATTCACAAACCAATAACTTCAAGACCAGCAAATTCGGAAAGGTTTTTTTCTTTAATTTTTTAAATTTATTTTTTAGATATATTTTTTGTGAAAATTTAAATAATTTTGGAAAAACAAAAATAAAAGATTATTTAATTAAAATAAATAATAAATTAGAAAGTTTTGATAAAGAAGTAGAAGATATACTTGAATTGGTACCCAATGAAATAATTTGTGGAGATGATACTTTTATAAATTATATGAGAAATAGTTGTGAAGAGTAAGTTTTGAATTAAGTTTTTTAGAAATAGAAATTTGTTTTAAGGATTGCGAGAAGACAAATTTTTTATTTACGTAAATACAGAAAATATGCAAGTGAACCGGGGGTTATTGATGGAGATCAAGAAAAATTAAGAGAAGAAGCACTTAAATATTGGGAATTACCTGATTTTATTGAAAGAACGCGTATACAATTTAGAAAGAATGGAAAGTTTGTAAAAGATCAACATTTAAATCAAAATAATAGAGAACCTGCTTCTGTGACTATTCGAAGATTTGCTGGAAATGTAAAATATTAAAAAATAATTTGTGTCCTATTTCATGCTTTTAGGGGGATAATTCATTGTAATATTATCCTGAAATTCTATTGGACTCTTTTTTAAATTTCTAAGTTTCCTTTAAAGCAATTCAAACATTTTACAGTTTAAAATATTAAAAGAATTTTAATTGTTTTTTTTTTATTTATTTTAAGCAGTTACAATTCCCAATAAAACGACGTTTGGCACCATTCACTCCAAATGAACCTCGAATTTGTCCCGATATTAATGAGCTTCGTGCTTTACTTTTAACAGAATCTGACGATCCAATATTGCTTGTTTCCCAAGGCCAAACTGTAAGTATTCCTTCCTTTCTTTAAAACAACATTTCTGTATTTATTAGTCAGATTCTAACGGTCTTTTTTGTCAACGTTTAAATGCTTTGAATGTTACAAATGCAGAAATTTTTTATTGTACAATTCCAAAAGATACAATTTTGCTTGTACAAATTACAAAAATTTATCAATTTGATTCAGAACAAATAAAATCGACAAATTCTTGTATTTGGGTTTTGGATGGGGCTGTTTTAAATGGTGATGATATTAGCCAATTAAATTTACATGATAGATTAAAAGCGACAAAAAAATTTTGTGAAGCAATTAATAAAAGATATTTTAGAGGAATTGATAGACAACAAAAAAGAAATTGGGCAAGATCTTTTGTTAGGTTTTTGTTTTTAATTTAAATAAAAAGAAAATTTATTTTTTTAAAGGCCTTCTGTTAATAAATTTCCTGAATTAATTGTTGCAGATGCTATTAAATTAGATGAATTGTCTCAAAAACATTTTGAAATTAAAGATATTAAAGTATTTTTAATATTTTTTTAAAATTAAATTTAAAAAATTTTTAAGGGAAAAAGTGCATTTTTCCCTGTTTGGGCAGCCGATGATCAAAGGGATTTACCTCCAAAAAATCATTATTTGCCTTGTCGTGGTGTTAGAATTCAAAATATATTAAATCGTTAGTTTTTTTTGGTAAAATTAAATAGAAATTTGGATGAAATTTTTTGTTTTAATTTTTAAAATTAATTTTTAAGCAAATTTTATGCTTAAAAGTCGAACAGATAAGAATGGACAAAAATTGGAATTTCCCATTCCTCGAGTTACAAATCAATCATTTAATCAAAATCCTTATTCAACATTTTATGATTCTTTAATTGGATTTATACCTAATGAATTTTGGATGTTTGTTTTGTTTTATAAATTATTTTTTTCTATAATTTTTTAGCCAAACATTTCCAATGGGACATCCACATAATGGGGCAATTACATTTAGATGGAGTTGGGAAACTGATTTTAACGTTGGATTTGGAGTAAAATTTATTTTATTTTTTTAATTTAAATTATTTAAATAAATTAGGTGGAAAATATAATTAACGATAATGAACACAAAGGGGGACTTACATTAAAACATTTGAAAAAAATAATAAATGAACGTCAACAACCAAAACAAGAATTAATATTATAAATAGTTACTACTAATTTATATAAATATATATTTTTTATAAAAAAATTTTTTGTTTGTTTATTTTAAATTAAAAATTTATTTTTTAAGTTTAAAAATATTTTTTAAATTTTTATGCTAATTTTTTAGTTAATAATTTAAAAGTAAAAATGAATAGTAAAAAGCCTGGTCTTTTGGCATTATTACCAAAACCGAAAGGAGTATCACAAACTAAAGCACCAGAACTGCCGTCAAATTCTGCATTACCAAAACTTGGCCCGTCACAAACTTTGGAGGTTTTTTGTTTTAAAATTTTAAATAAAAGTAGGGAGTGCTAATTCCTTAACTCGGTTAGTGAACTATACCTAGGTTGAGAAGGTTTCTCTTAGTTAATATAAACAAATGAGTTTTATTAAATTAAAAAATATTTCAGAAAACACAACAAATTGAAGAAACAACGAAGACTGTTGAATTCAAAAAAATAAACGACAAATCAGTTGGTACTTCTTTGTTAGGAATAGTTGATTATAGCTCAGATTCTAATGATGATGATGAAAATGAGGGAATTGAAAAAGAAAAAATTGAAAATGATGAACAGATTGATTTTTTTGGTTTAAAAAATTCATCAGAACCTGCTTCAAAGAAAATTTGTTTAGAAGGTGAAGATTATGATGTTCTAAATGAGCCGCAGATTTTTTTCGAAGAAGTTGCGCCAGGACCTTCCAGGTTATTTAATTATATATGGAGGCTTAGAAAAAGAATAAAATGTAAATTTAGATTTTTGAACGATAATTTATCAAATGATACATCTATTTCTTGCTTATCGGATGAAAAGACACCAAGTGTTCTACGTTCAATTACAGATCAGGTTATATTAAAACAAATTGCGATGGAATAAAAGGAAAAAAATATTTTATAAGAAAGAGAGTTTTGCCTGTATTTATGTCTAAAAAATTTATTTTAGTCTCCACAAAATAATTTATTTCTTTTAAATTTTAAGGAGGCAAGTCGTTTGATTTTTGAACGTGAACTTGTTCCAAATGGAGTATATAATTCAGCAATAGCAGATGAAGCTATTAGTGGAATGATTGATGTAAGTGTAGATGCAGCATTAGGCCCAAATATTCGAGAGAATTTACTACGAAATTTAAATACAAAACAAATGGTTTGAAATAAATAATTTAAATTAAATTTAATTTTTATTTTTATAGGCTCAAATGGCTTGTGGCCCTTTACCTAAATTACCACAAGGAGGTGACAAAACTGCTAAAACAATGCCAGAGAGATTAGCTAAACGAAAACATCAAATTACTCATTTGGCCCAAGTGGTTAGTTTTTAAAATTATAAGGAGAGGGGAAATAATGAATGAGGGAGGGAAACAACACTAAATGTGGCATTTTCTTTAAAATATCCAATCTTTTTACTTTTTTATTTCCAATAATTAAAATTAAAATAACATTTAAAGGCAATCTCCCGCGAGGAGCAACTCCAAGAAAAATGGGCTGAAGGTAGACAACAAAAGAAAATGAGCCGACAAAAATATGGATTTTAAAATTAAATTTAATTTGTAAAAAAATTTATTTTAAGGTTTTAAATAAAATTAAAAAAAAAGTTTTTTTCTTATTTTAATTGTCCCCATAATTAATCATTCCCGGGTGTAATTGAACGAGAACAATCAATTGTTTTTACTTTTTGAGTTTAATAAATAGAAGGCGATCTTTTAATTTCTTTAATAATTAAAGGCTCTAAATATAAAAAATATAATTCAACAACAATTATGTTAAAATACAAAAGTTTTAATTTTTTCCTTTTATGTTTAATAAATTTGACAAATATTACTGGATGTTTGAGATGTTATACAGTAAGTTGTTTTTTGTTTAGTTATTAACTGGGATAACAGAGAATATATATAATCGAAGGATTTACAAAAGGGAATTAATCTTCATTGAAGTGAAGAAAAATACAACTTTCGACAATTCTTAATTTAAAATTAAGCTTTCTTAATTTCGTCCAAACTTAAAAATTCTTTTTTTTTGTAGGGATTTAGAATAATTCGAGGTCAAAGTTATGGTGGTGGAGAGGTAGAATGTAATAGCAATGAATTATGTTATAACGCTACAGCAGCTTCAGGGAATGTTTTTGATGTAGGCAAAGCTGGTTGTTCTCAATATAGGTAAATAAAGATTAAATTAAAATATCTTTTTTTAATTTAAAGATGTATGCTAGCCAGAAATAATTGTATAAAAAATGAATTGGGAGGTGTTCCTGTCAGTTTTTGTTGTTGTGATAGTGATTTATGTAATGCTGGTTAATTAAAGGCGAGAAAATAAAAAATGTAAATAAAAGAAAATATATATTTTTTCTCTTAAACTATTGCTTTAATAAATAAAATGCAAAATTATTTTTAATTAAAAATATTATGTATAGAGGTCTAAATTAAAAAAAGAGAAAAAAAACAAATTGGTCGACAAAACAAAATAAAAGAATAATTTTTGTAATTATTCAAAAAAAGTAATTAAAAAAGAGAGAACTAACCAAAATATTTATAATCCCTCTCCCAAAAAATCACAACATTATGATCAAACATTCCTCTCCCTCAATTTACTCGTAATTCTCCACTAAATTTGTTTGACGCACCAAACCCCCATTATTCAATAAATGTTGATGTAATTGAGCACCAGCAGGAGAAGCAATAGCCTTTAAAGATTATTTAACATTTAAAAGGATTTAATTTAGAAAATTTTTTTACCGAATTTCCACCGCCCCCAGTTTGTTGTTGAGAATTTTGTGCGCCAACGGCTGCAGCCGTTGCATGATGGTACTAGAAAATTATTTTATTTTAATTTTACTTTTATTAAGAGAAATTTACTTGAATTTGATAAGCCAAAGGACTAATTTTAAAGCCATATAACCTTTAAAAAATAAATTAAAAATAAAAAATAAACAAAAACAACCTTGGTACGTATTGCTTGGCGGGACGTTTAGGGCGCAGTTCTGGATGCACAAAAAAGAACATGTGAGGAAATCCGGTGCCTGAAAAAGAAAAAAGAAAATTTAAACTATTTAAATATTTCTAACCAAAATAAGCTCCCTCGGTATGTTGATGCTTACTTGATCGAGGCAAATATACATCACAACATCTTGGACAATAGATACGCACCATGCACTCACCAAGAACATCAGAAAGGCCTAAATGAAAAACAAAAAATTACAAAAACATTATATGAAATTAAATTCGCCCAAAAATGATGATTACTCATTAATATGATAAGCCACCGTTTTTAAATTACAAGTTCATTTTGTATAAAAAATAGAAAAAAATTAACCAATTGGAAGAACAGGTTGATTTTCACAATAAACGCGAGGACAAGTTCCAAATTCTTCATTCTTCCATTTTGCTTGCATTAATTGAATCCCTCGATTAGTCAAAACATAACGTGAATGAATTAGTCCATAAAGCATCTTCAAAAAATCAAACTAGAAATACAAAAAAGTAAAAAAACCTCTGCTGCTTGTTCAACCAAATCACTCTGCCCTTCTTCATAATCCTCATCTGGCTCCAAATCCAAAATCTGTATTTAATAAAAAAATTTTCCCAATATAAGCTTTAAAAAATCGTCAAAACCCAACCATGTCCAGCGCTTGACGAAAATGCGGCACCTGTTCTGCCAGTCCAGTCAAATTAAAACGATCTTGAATGTACTCCTCTTCAACCTGACAAAAAAATGTAAAAAAAACAGCTCTATTTTTCGTCTTAAAAACAATCTAAATAGAAAAAGGGAAAACACTATGCACTTCTCAGTAATCTGTGACGAGAAAAGGTAAGGTACAGCCCAAGTTCTTTACCAACAAAGTACGTAAAGTAAAAAATATCAGACCTCACAAAAAAACTCATTGCCTCGAAGAGTGCAGAACCAAGAAATCCAAGAAACTTCTTCACTACTACTCATCCTACTATTTGTCCTTAATTCAAAATTAAAAACCTTAGAATTTAATAAAAGAATATTAAAATTGATAAAATACAAAATTAGAAAGACAAAATTTAAAAACAAGTCTTTAATTTATTCACCAATTAACTCGAAACAAACGATAACAACAACTTAACACAAATAAAAATAATTTTTTCTCCAAAAATTCAAATCATACGCTCCAACAGCTTATTGATTTGATCTTCACGGTTTCCATAATCTCCACCCTCAACGAAGTGATTAGACTTTTTATTAAAGCCGCCCAATGGATTGCTCAACTTGAATGGCCAAAGAAAGTTGGTAACTTGTTTGAAGTGAGGGCCAACAGTCCAAATCTTTTTTTTAAATAATTTAAAGAATATTTAAAAAAATAAAACCTGATTAATCATATCCTCAACACAAATAATGTCTTGCTTGCCAAGATTTTCTTCAACAATATTATTGTCAGTTAATGGCATTCTCTGACCTTTGACTTTAACATATCCACGTTTGTAGATAAGTTGACGAATTATCTTTTGGCTTGGATACCCCCAAGCAATGTACGGCTGAAAACAAGTAAAATATTTTAAAATAATTTGACATTAATTACATCAGCAATACGCAACATTTGGATTGTAGCTTTATTCAATTTAATGAAAACTCCATTGTTGATTTGACGCAAGCGGAAAAGTTGAAGAACTTTTCGAGGACGAGGATGGATCTGAATTAAATAAATTAAAGAATTTGTAGATTAATGGGTGATAAAATCATAACAATTTGAAAAGGTTAGAAAGCATAAAAAGAGAAATGATTTCAAAACCCCATCCTAAACTTTAAAGAAAATTTAAATTAACCTTGTTGATTCCCTTAATACGCACAACAAAAGCAAGTTTAGGCTCATCTGGAACATAAAAATTCCCTGCTTTCTTAGCTTGTCTTTTCAACTGCAACTCTTGCTTCTGCTTACGTCGGTATGCAATCAAGTATTGCTCAGCACGTTTAAAGATAACTTGCGTTTTAACCTTAGCCTTCTAAATTATTTAAAAATATATAATTGATTGCCAAAATAAAAATTTCCCAACCTTAATATTCTCCAATTTATTCTTAAGAAGAGAAGCACGTTGTGCAGCTCTAACTTTCCTTCTCTTCAAAACAGTCTCAGGCACCATCGGCAACTTCTTCTGGTCTCTAAAATTAATTAAATTGGTTCAAATCAATTTCTTTAAAGACTTACTCCGTCATTGTCCACTAATAAAGAATCAATAAGCTATAAAAAGGATGTCTAAAAAGGAATTAAAATAAGTATAATAGTTAAGAAAAAAGGTAAAGACAAGCTTTGAATTACTTGTTTAGAAAAATTTCCAAAATTAAACCAAAAAACTTATTATTTAAATTTCTAGACAAATTACAAAATTAAGAATTTTCTTTTTCCGTTTGTTCTTTTTTTACAGCATCTCCTCCCTTCTCTTCTGATTCATTAAGCATTTTACGATATCTTTCCAATAATTCGCAACCATCCTTTAACGTCCTCTTCATATCCTCAATTTCAGCAATTATTTGGCGATTCTCTGCCTCCAATTTATTTCGCAACTCTTGACGTTCAATTTCAACTGAATTGATAATTATAATTAAACTTAAATAATTAAATTTTAACAATCTTTTGGAGTTCGGAAGTACCCATAAAATTGTGATGAAAAGGTGTCGCCAGTGTCTAAAAAGTTTTGTATTTAATATATGGAATGTATTTTTAATTACTAAAAGAAGGACAACGTAAAACACTTAAAAAGTGGCTTTCCCAAAAGAACAGAATATTTAATTCTATAGTAATTTGGTTCTTAGAACTTAGAAGGTAGGTGACTTATTGTTAGAAAGCAGAAAACAAAACTAACATCGAGAATCCTTTTTGTGATTTGAATGTTTCATCAAAGCTCTATACATTGGCTCTGTTGGTTCATTAAATATAATCTCATCATAAAGTTCTTTCAATACCATTTTTTGTCCATTTTTTAATTCAATAAGAGGTTGATGTAATCGAAGATAGTGAAACATTGTTACCTAACAATAAAAAATTCATGAAAGAATAAAGTGCAAAAATCGACAAACAGGTTTTTCGTTGACGTCAGTAAAATAAAGTTTAATCTTAAATAAAGGGGATATTTAAATAATTTTTTATTAAAAAAACCTGAATATCAAATTCTCCCCATCCTGTCTCTGACAACTCGAATGGAGCCTTCTCAACGATCCGAACATTATTTGGATAAGACTCGTGTAGACGAAATTGAACTTTACGAATATAAATAGATAAATCTTCATCTCGATCATAAGGACGAATGAAAATCTATATTAAACTTTAAAAAGTCATTAAAAAATAAGAATTAACCGTCCATTTATGTGTATGCCCCTTGCTGTTTTTCTGAGGAAAAATTACAGCATAATTACCATAAATTAAAGGTTTAATAACACGCTTGTTTCTAACTCTTTCAGTGTAAACAACTCCTCCACTATTTGTTGAAGTAGAAGCCATATCCAATATAAAAAAAAATTAGGAAACACGAGAAAACCTCAAATTAAAAGCTTTCGAAGATTATAAACAAAAATAAGTCTCAAAAGTTCCCCTTACCCAATAAAAAAGGGTAGGGAAAAAAGGGTAGGGGACGACTTATCTGGATATAACTTTTTGTGTATATCTGATCAAATTACCTAGTTGGAAAATAATCCTCACATCCCAGGGCTTTCGAGTGATAAAAGCTTTATTCTAATTAGTTAAACCCAAAAGATTATGGCCCAACATATGGCTGCAGGACTCAACCGGCGGGACTCAATGATCCCCTACTCCTGAAATACATAACGCCAGAATACAGTAGACAAAATCAATTAGTATAAAAGAATCATTTTACTTTTATTTTAGTGTCCACTTTGATAGAAAAAAATTGTTTGCCGTGTTGGGCTTATTATTATTTTCGTTTTTGTTACCTTTATTAGAAAATTTGTTTATATTTATTTAAACGTGTTTTGATTTTTTAGTTTAGTGCTTTAAAATATAAAAAAATGTCTCCTCGACCAAAAGTTTATTTTGATATTACTCTTGGTGGCAAGGCGGCAGGTTTTTAGTAACTCTATTTTATAAGGATATTCTAAACGTTTAGGTCGCATTGTTATGGAATTATATGCCGACATCGTTCCAAAGACGGCGGAAAACTTTCGTGCTTTGTGTACTGGAGAGAAAGGAATGGGACATAGCGGGAAGCCTTTGCACTACAAAGGATCTAAATTTCATCGTGTTATTCCAAACTTTATGCTCCAGGTGGCTGATTTTATTATGATTATATTGACATTAAAATTCAGGGAGGTGACTTCACTCGTGGAAATGGCACTGGTGGCGAGTCTATTTATGGAGAGAAGTTTGCCGACGAAAACTTCAAGGAAAAGCACACTTGCGCCGGTCAATTGGTATACAATTTATTTTTAAAACTTGTTTCTACTAAATTTCACTTTCTAGTCTATGGCCAATGCTGGACCTAACACCAATGGATCTCAATTCTTCATCACGACTGTTAAGACAGAGGTATATATTCTACTTATAGGCGGCGATTATATTTGAATTTTCAGTGGCTCGATGGGAAGCACGTCGTTTTTGGCAAAGTGGTCGAAGGCATCGATGTGGTCAAAGCTGTTGAGGCTATTGGCTCACAAAGCGGCAAAACTAGCAAGGTATATTTGAATATCAGCTAGTCAAAAACTAAAGTTTGTTTAGGACGCTGTCATCGCCGACTGTGGTCAATTGGCTTGATCATTTGATAGATGAGAAGGGATTTTGAATAAAAAGGAATCGTAATAATAAAATAGAAAGTTTTCGATATTTAATTCCAGTATTTAAAAATGTTCTTTTGATTCCATGAAACTTATTTGTTAAAATTGTTCGTTTATGAAAAAGTAAATGTTGACTTTTGGTTTAAACATTTATTCTATAAGAATGGAAAAAGTATCTTTTATGATGAAATGTGTTCTTTTCTTTGCTTTCTTCTTCTGTTCTCCGCTAAATCATGAAATCTAGCTTTCAGTTCGTATTTAATCAAGGGACACGCCCGAAACGGCGCGGGCCAAAACGGCGCGACCGAAACGGCGCGACCGAAACGGCGCGACCGAAACGACGCAGGCCGAAACGGCGCAAGGCCAAAACGGCGCACGGCCCAAAACGGCGCAAAAATTTCCCATAAGCTACATATTGTTACGTGAGGTTAGCTCGAATGGCGATCGTGTCTTTTGGTGATGTGAACAAAAAATAGCAGATGTAAAGGTCACAACATCTTGTGATAACAGAGTGATAACAAAAATTAAGAGTGATAACAAAACTATTTAGATCGCATACTTACTAGTAAGTATAACTGCGAGAAATAACTGCGGGATTCAGATAGTTCCAATATAACTATATTACTAGTTAGTTCCCCCTATAACTACATATATTACTAGGTAGTTCCCCCTAGAACTACTATATAGTTATCCCCATATTATTACTGTAACCATCTAGACTTGGTTATTTTTTTTTGGTCGTTGATGTCGGAACATTTCACCGCTGCTGGAACAACTTTTCTCAATGATGGAACGATCTTCCACATTGTTGGAACAATTTTCCCATAATGCGCAAAACCTTATTGCAGATTTTAAATAATTCGAAGGATCAGTGTATGCAATGGTGGCTATTGATCGATCACTAAGGCCAGATCGATCACAAATAGGTTGATCATAGAGATCAATTGATCACTCTCACAGTTGAACATGATGATAACACGATTAATCATTATTACTGTGAGTTTTGGGTTTGCGCCGTTTTGGGCCGTGCGCCGTTTTGGCCTTGCGCCGTTTCGGCCTGCGTCGTTTCGGTCGCGCCGTTTCGGTCGCGCCGTTTTGGCCCGCGCCGTAATGGGCTGTACCCTTTAATCAAAAATTAAAAGTCCCGCAAAATAATAAATTCAAATTGTAATATACATTTTGCAAAATTTTCGGTAGGGGGCGGTTCAGTATCGGTGGATTCAGTATTTCGGCTTGGCCATCTTTTTGTTAGATTAATATTTTATTTATATATTTTTTTTAATTTTTAGTATTTAATGTTAAATTTGGATTCATTTACTTACCGATTATTGTGGCGTCTTAAAAGCTTTCTTCGTCTTCAAAACAGAGGCCCACAACCAATTATTTACAGTTTTGTTATTTTTTAATTAAATTAATTTTAAATTTTCTTTAAAGATGCACCTTGTCGTAAATTCATTCCTCCATCGAATTTTGAGAGTTTGTTGGATAAAGAAAAAATGAAAAATTTTGTGGCGCTTAAAGATGAACTAAATGTTTATTTTAAATTGATTTAAATAAATTTAAAAATTATTTTTTTAGATCCTTACACGAATATTTAATCAATTGCCTGAAAAACTTGATGAAAAAGGTTTGTGTTTTGTGTCAGAAATTTTTGTTTTTAATATTTTTCAAAAAATTTTTGATTTTTAGATTGGCATTCCTTAATTCAATTATCAAATACAAAGGATCGTTTCTTTTATTTACGTTTTCTTTACAAACGTGAAAAAAAGCGAACAAATGAAAAAATAAAAGAAGAAACGAGAAAATTAAGATTTGAAGAATATAATAAACAAAAATTACCAATTAATGAGGAAGAACAATCTTTAATTTATTTACGAAATTCGCATATTGGTTAGTTTAAATATTTTAATTTGTTATGAATAAATTAAAAATTTGATAAAAATACATAATTTTTATTAAAGAAAATTAAAAAAAATAATTCTCTCTTTTTTACCTAATTTAATTTTAAAATTCCAGATTTATTACAAAAACATTTGGCAACAAATAAAATTATTGAAGCATTTCGATTAAAAGAAGAATATCCAATAATTGCAATTGATTGTCGTTGGCTTCATTTACATTCAGAAAGAGGCCTTAATTTGGCTTTTAAACAATTAAAATATTTAATTGGAAGAAATCGTGATCGTGAAATTCCTTGGCCGTTATATTTAACAAATTTTATTGAAGAAAATAATTCAAAAATAGAAGAAGCAAAAAGAAAGTAATTTTTTAAAATATTTAATTTAGTTTTGGATTTTAAAGACATTTTTCAATAATTAATGGAAAATTCTTCACAGCACACATTACATCAAAATCTTATTTGGAATTATTTCCTGAATTGAAAGAAAAACAAAAAATTGTTTATCTTTCTCCTCATTCGAAGGAACCTTTGGAGGTATTTTTTAAAATTAATTTTCAAAAATTTCTTTATTTAATTTCTAATTATTTTTTGTTTATTTTTTACTAAATTTTGTTCCCATTTTAATTTCTAAAAATTATTTCTAAACCAAAATATTCTTTTTTAAATTAAAAATTTATTTTCAAAAGTCAGTTGAACCAAATACTTGTTATATAATTGGTGGAATTGTTGATGCATTTTCAGAGCCAGAAATTCCTTCAAAAGCATCAATTGAAGTAGCAACACAAGAAGGACTTCAATGTAAACGTCTAAATTTAGATTATAGGCAATTAAAAGGAGGAAATCCAATGTTTACATTAGATCAAGTACTTGATATATTACATGATGTTTATGATAAATCTGAATGGGAGGAAACAATTAGAAGGTTTTTCTTTGTTTCTTTTTAAAGTTATTTCCCTTGTCAACCTTTTTCTCGTTAAAGATATTTTATTGTATATTTAGATGCAAAACAATGTAAATTCAAATTATTATTTAAAATTCTTTTAAATATAATAGAAAATAACTAGCTCAGATTTACTTTCGAAATTTCATCGAAATGGGATTAATCTCCGAAAATCCCAGGATTTTGACAGGCCGAAAATCGAAATATTGGGGGGTTTGGGACAAAATCCAAAAAAATCCCGTAATGGATTCTGTCCCGAGTTTTTTTTTATTAAATATTTAAATTAAAAATTTTTTCTAGATATGTGCCAAAACGAAAATTTGAATCAAAATCAGAAAAAAATTTGTCGGTAAAAAGTTTTTATAAAAATACGGCTGAAAGAAATCGACAAATTATTGGAATTCTTCAAAGGAATTGTGGGATTAATCAAAGAACAACAAATGTTTATTATCATACATCGACAAATTGTTTTGAAGTAAAGAAAGGTTTTTTCCAATATTTTTATTTTAATTATTAAATTTAAAAAGAAATAAAAACAAAAATTCCTTCAAAACAATTATTTGATGGAACAATTAAAAGAAAAACGAATGGAGGAATGTTTTTGGAAAAGAAACAAAATAATTCTAAAAATAATTTAATGGATTTACTTTTTCCAAAAATGCTCTTTGATTATAATAATTTACAAAAAATAATAGGTTTTGCAGTTGCTTTAGATGTTTTAATTCTGACAATTATTTTTTGGTTAGATAAAAAGGTTTTTTTCTTTTTTTTCGAATATTAAAATTACTTTTAGGAAATGGAAAACGAGGAAAAACAACAGAAAATGGACATACTTTATTTTTTGTTATTTACAATTAATTTGATTTTTTGTTTATTGTTACGTAAAAAGATGATTGCAGCGAGAAGCAAAATGATTAAATAAAAAGTATTTAAATTGTTGATTTTTTTTTCATTTTACTATAAAATTTACAATTAAAATGTAAAAAAACTGAGAAATTACTTTAATAAATTAAAAGACTCAAAAAAATTCTCATTCATCATCACTTAGTATTTCCCCCTCACTTAATTCTGACTCATCTACCACACGTTTTTTCTTTTCAGGTGGAGGGAATTCACTAGTTGTAGAGACTAAACAAAATAAAATTAGATTAAAAAATTTAAAAAATAAATACCATTTGTATCTCGTTGTTGTTCTCTTTGTATTGTTGTTCTATGTTGTAGAGTTGGTGTTACTCTACGATGGCTTGGTGGTGGAGTTCGGGCCCTTCTTCGACTCGAAAATGACTGGGAAGAGGATGGCGGCGATTTCGAACCTGAGCGTTGATTATTTCCCAAACGGTGAGAGGGGCCGCCTCTTCGTCCTGAACGATCTGCCCAACGGGAACGATTACTATCTGAACTCAAACTTTGAAATGCAAAAATCAAGAAACTGACCAGAAAATTGGGATGGTGGTTGATGTTCACGTCTAACTCCACCATAAACTGGCTGTGTAGTAGAGAGTCCACCTCTTTGTGATGAGAAGCTTGGTGGAGGCCCAGTGACAGAAAGTGAAGGAGCATTTGCTGACATTATCAATTCTGGAAGAAGTGATGGAATTTTTTGTTGAAATTGACCTCCAACATTTGCCAAAGGAAATTCGCTTTTTAAGATTATAAATACTTTCTTAAATATCAAAAAAAACCTTTTTGTAGGCGAGGGTCTTCGTCCATTGCTAGCAGAAATGGCTGCTGCTTGCGTCCATTGCGCAGAACTCTGCAAATAAATAATTTTAACAAAAATCGAAATTTAATAGAAAGACCTGAAGTTGTTGAGAAATAGAAGGAAATTGTGAAGATGCTAATGATGATTGAGGCGGTGGTTGAGATACAATAGAAATGGAAGATGATTGTGCTTGAAAAAGTGGAGGTGGGGGCATTGTAAGATTAGCTATAATTGGAGTTTCCTTCTCACACACCTAAAAATAAAATATTTTAAATATTTCTATTTTATAAAATTTGATTGAAAAAACGCAGATCTATACTACTATTGTCAAACCAAAATTTTTTGCCGATTAAAGAATTTTAAAAAACTGAATGAAAATATTTTCGTTTATGATCCGAACGATAAACGAATGTAAAAAATAAAATTTTTAGCATTCTTAAAAGTAATTCTTAACCGAACATAAAAGTTCAGATACAAAAAACCTTTTTTCCTTCGTTATACTCATCACCCTCATTTTGAAGGTTTAATGTCAATGAATAATTTTCATCTTCCTCTTCTTGAATTACTAATTCAACATTACATTTGTCAATTGCCTTTTGCATTTGTTTTGAAGGTTTGTTTTGATTTTCCCGCTTTTGTGTACCTCCCAAATTTTCCAATGAAGTCAATTTAAAGATCTTTTGTGAATTACTACTATTACCTTTATTACTAATTTTGTATCTATAAAGGTTAGTAAATGATCGGTTTTTTTTTCGCCACCTAAAATAATTCCTAATATGTGCCCATATTTCTATCTTGAAATAAACAAAAACACTCACTGCATTCAAGTTTTCACGACTGCGTTCAAGTGTTCGTCGTAAATCTTGTAAACAACTACTGTCCCGGGAACGAACAATAATTTCCCGTTGAAGATCGTCCATTTCAACAAGATTAACACGAAAACGAGCGGCCATCTTTCAAAAATTATTTTGAAAATAAAAACAATAATAAACCTTTATATAAATCGATCGAAGCATTTCAATTGGCATTTCATCAATACCAGGCAAATCTGTTTGAGAGTGATAAATTCCATTTATTCTTATACCATTTTCAATAGGAGCATCATTTTCTTTTGTTTGATTACCAATGAAAAGGCGTTCAAAAAATGTATTTATTTGGGGTTCATCTCTTGAAATTAACATTGCTGACTAAAAAACATTTCATTTTATTACTATAATGTTAAATTATTAAAAACCTGTTTTTTAGACATTGCAGCCTTTTCCCATTGTTCAGCCGAAAATTCTGAAGATTCGGATCTACTACCTTCTTCTTCTTCCAACTGTAGTTTTAACATTAACAAATATGGGTCTGAAGTTAATTTTGAATCACCCTTAATCAAAAAATTAACATACTAGCCCAAATTGCACGAAAATTAATTTCATCAAGAATAGAAAACGGGGCAGTCACTGAATAATTCTCCATTGGCGATTCAGATCCCAGTAATATATCAACACTTAAAAAAATAATTTCTAAATAAATAAAATATTAAAAAAATCAACTTTTGAGACATTTCAGGTAATTGATGTGGAAAAACACCAGACAAAATAAATTCTCTCCGAAGTTCCATCAACAAAAATCCTAGTCTATTTCCTCCAATATATGGTGGACGGAAAGCCAATGGCCGAAGGCAAATATCCATTAACTTTAAAAAATTAGTCATTTAAAAGGTCGTTCCAAACACAATTTTTAAGCTTATAATTTTCTTATTTTAGTGCCGTAGATAAAAAAATTTTTTAAGCCCTGAATACGCCATTAATTAATTAATTAATTAATTAAATTAATTAAATACTTGTTTAGTATCTTGTTGTACATGAGATAACCAAAGTCGTAAATCACGTTCTCTTACTCCAATATGTAATTCTGCTTCAATTGAAGAAAAGCGGGAACAACTTATTAATAATGCATCCTAAAAATAAAAATATTTTTCAAACTAAAAAGAACACCTGGGTATCCAGAAGAACACGTAAAAGCATTGGATGTTGTTCAAATTGCATTTTCATTGCCCTTTTTAGAACATTTTGCCTCTCTTCTTGATACCTAATAATCAAAAATATTAGAATAAAATTTTGCTGTTTGAAACAATTAAAATAATCATTTTTTGTTATAGTCAAAAAAGTCTGTTTACAAGGGAACATTTCGAACTGTGAGTAAAAAGTTCGAAATAAAAGTTATACCATCGTGTAGAGCATCGTCGAAAACCTTTATGGTTTCCGGCTTTTTCGGCTCCGACCCCCATTTCGAAAAGTTATAGGTCTTCAAAGTTTTCGATTTTTGGAGCGGTTGAGTCGCCCTCATAAAGAGAGAGTTTTCTTTTATTAGGAGAGAAATAAGACTCCCATCCTCCTTTTTTCCTTTCCTTTTCTTTTCCAATATTAGTTAAAGAAAGAGAAAAGGAGGAGAGAAAAGAAAAGGAAAAGAGGCATCTCTGCCTTGCAGCTAATGTCAATTAAAAAAAAAAGAGGAGATGGCAGACATGCCTCTTTTCCTTTTCTTTCCTCTCCTCTTTTTCTCTTTCTTTAACCGACATGGGAAAAGAAGAAGAAAGGAAAAATGGAGAAAAGGAGTCTCATTTTTCTCTTTAGTAAGACAAATAATAAGAAAAGTGAGGGCGACTCAACCGCTCCAAAAATCGAAAACTTTGAAGACCTATAACTTTTCGAAATGGGGGTCGGAGCCGAAAAAGCCGGAAACCATAAAGGTTTTCGACGATGCTCTACACGATGGTATAACTTTTATTTCGAACTTTTTACTCACAGTTCGAAATGTTCCCTTGTTAGTAGCAAGCCTAATATTTTAAATAATATTTCTACCATTGTTGTATCATTTCCAAAGGTAGATGCATATAATCACATATCACTCTATGTAACCTTTCCCAGCATTCAGGTCCTTCTCTAGGTTCCATTATCCAAACAGCATTACTTTCGTTTATATCCAAAAATCTGAAAATGTATTTAAAAATAAATTTAAGTCTAAAAAATTTGGGAAACTCCTAAAAATTTTCTATTTTATTTAATAACTTATCGTATTTTTTATTTAAAATTAACTTACTCAATAGCTTCTTGTGCAGCTAAATGTACAGCTGACGGAAACACAGCAGTAGATTCATCGTCTTTTATATCTACTGGATAAAAGGGGTGAAGAACAGATTCTGGGCTAAAACAGATCATATGATTAGAGACTGAAGAACGCAAAACACTCGAAGTCAGAGGGGTAATTAATGGAATCCTTTTTAATGTTTTTTAAAAATATTTTTTAAATTAATTAACCTATGTGTTGTTTGTGATGCTAATTTTGTTCTCAATTCCATTAATAAAAGTCCTGTTTTATTTGCTCCTAAATGTGAAAGAGCAGGAGGTCTATACGTCCGACTAGATTGCCATTGCAATAATAATTGTGGAGTTATATATTTTTTGCTCAATAAATGCTGATATTCTAATTCATCTGATCCGCATGCCCATTGAGTATCAGCCTCTATTTAACAAAAAAATTATTCACAAAATTTAAAAAAAACAACCGGGAGTAGTTTCAAGTAAAAAAGCATTTCCTGTACTCAATAAAAGTTTTTGTAAATATTCATTTTTTGTTATTTTATATTTCATTGCTGATTGTCTCCAACGATCTAGACGTGCATATTTATACTCCAATTCGTTTTCATCGATCTAACATAAAAATTTTATAAAAATCTATAAAAACTTACATTTAATCGCTTAAAAAGTCTTTTAGCCATTTTTGAAACATCAACAGGCTTGACAGTTGTTCGAATTTTCAGTATTTCATCCTCAGGAAGATGTAAAGCTTCAAAAAGTCGTTGATAGACATAATGCTCAACAGAACCTAAAAAAATCAATCTGAGAATTTATAATAAAAAAACAAACGATAAAAACATCCTTTCATTTCAAATGTAAATGCATAATAATTGCTTAAAGGTTGAAATGGGCCTTGAAGAGATAACACAAAATTGGAAAGAGAAATTGGCACAAGATTGCCTTCTTGATCACTAGAAACCCCCTCGTCCTTAATTTCAACTGTAGAAAGCCATTTTGCCTTTTCCTTTTCCCTGAAAAAGAAAAATTACAAAAATTAATTAAAATTTACCTAAGTTCATAGCGTAGCCACATAAGAAAGAAACCAAGCTGATTCTGGCCAACTTCTTTTGGCCGTTGACGATCATCATGCATCCAAGCACTAATTCTAAATTAAAAAATGATTATAATTCGCAGAAAAACCCATTGTCAGAGAAAAACCTTTCAGCGTTTGCGTGATGTCGTTTAGAAAATTGTACAAAATATTCATCATCCATTCCAATCCCAAGTTCAGAATCACGACGGTCACATACAATAAGAAGAGCATCACCAGTCTCCATTAAAGTTTGGCGAAAACCTATATATTACATTATAAGAAATATTATGTGAAAAAACGTTTGTCTTGCTCAGCTCTAAGTCTTAACCCCATCATTGTATATGATTGACGACCTAAAAATTAATTTAAAAGAATCTAAATTATGACAAATCCACTCACTAACGGTCAGATATTGTGAGAGGGAGTTCATATCGTGTCCTGAAGGCATATTTTCTTGTAGGAGCTCAATAGCCTTTCTCGAGACATTCGAACTTGTTGTTGCTAATAGAGCCAACACATGAACCTTTAATTGTAATTCAACTTAACGGAGAAGAGCCAGGCAATAGAGAATTTCCACCCTATTGCCAAAATAGACCCAAAACAATATATACTAGAACCAACCTCATCCAGTCCTAGCTTTGTCAAAATTTGGGCATAAGCATAATGATCGACACTTGGATAACTAAAAAACTTACAAATTATTTAAAATGTAAAAACCGTTTGCCGCCCTCATTAAGGGGAAATGTAAATGCTGAATGTAAAATATCTGTCTCATTACCCAACAGAAGAATTCTACCCTCCTCCATAGTAGCTGGAGCAGCAATAACCATGTTGCAGACTATTTTATAGTATTAAATAAAATTTAAAAATTTTTAAATAATCAAAGGGCATTTCTAAAGATCGTGAAATCGTTGGAGACACACCCAAAAAAATTAAAATCAAAAAACATTAAAAACAATATCCGATAAAGTTGTTTACCATAACTGTTTTATCAGCAAAATCACAATTCTTTAGAATCGTCCAATTGTCGGAATAAATTAAACGAATATTCAAAAAAATAAAACTGATTGTGGGATATTTAATGGATCTCAATACATAAATGAAAACAACAAATTTACTTAAAATCATTACACTAAAGTGATAGATCTCGAATTTAAAGAAAATCAAATATAAAAATAAATCCAAAAATATTTTCTTCCTTCATTCGAATTAACGTCTTGGAGGTGAACGAAAGCGGCCTCCTCCACCATTTCCAAGCGGAATAGAATTTGCGCCAGTGCTGCGTGAAGGTGGAGAACGGCTTCGGCGAGGACGACGTGCTGGAGGCGATACTCCACTGCGATTTGCACCACCCATACGGCGCGGAGAACGAGAACGATCACGCTTAGTACCCCCAAAGTTGGCGCCAAACGAACCTAGTGGAGAGCTGCCACGACCTAAAATTTAAAATAAAAAAAACAAACAAGAAAATTAACCTGGACGGTAAGGAAGAGTCAATTCGCACTGAATTTCCAACCCATCAATTTGGCCACCATCCATATGCTTAATCGCTTTCTCTGCATCCTCAGCCTTCTCATATTCTATATAGCCATAACCACGAGGAATGTGTATATGAACACGATCCATTGGCAATTCACAAGATTTAATAACACCAAACAATGAGAAAATCTCTTCCAAATGTGCCTTTGTGATATTACGGCTCAGATTGCTAAAATAATAAACTAGATATGTAAGAACTAGATAATTAAAGGACAAAATTCCTTTCAGAAAGATACCAAATATTACTAAAAAATACTACACCTACCGAGCACAAACCCGTTTCGGTTGCGGTTCAGGAGTACGTTCCCGACGTTCTCGCAGTGGAGAAGCAGCTGGTCTTTCACGCTCACGGCGTGGAGGTGAACGACGCACAGGAGAACGAGACCGATGACGTGGTGGCGATGCCTGTCGACGGCGTGCTGCAGGTGACGGTGAACGACGTGAAGAACTGACAGTAATTTTTTCAGACTTCGGTTGAGGCACACGCCGAGGAGAACGAGACCTCGCACCTCTTAAAGTCCATCCAATTAGGGGAAATTAAAAATAAATAAACCTTCGTGGTGAGCGGCGATTTGTGGCAGGTCGGTCACTCCGTCCAGCAGCTGGACGACTCTTTTTAGGAGTTGGTGAACGTGATGCAGAACTTGTTGAACTGGATGATGAACCAGAGCCTGAACTAGAGCCACTGGTTGATGAACTAGCTGAACTTGAGCTACTTGAACGAGAACGACGTCTAGGTTTTGACTCAACCATTATAACTTTGTTGTGTCTGAAAAGATGAATAATTAGACAATGTTGAGAAATATCGTATAAAACAAAAATCGAATGGATATGGAATATTTTTGTTTGAGATTCAGTAACAAAAGGCGGTCAAACTGGAGAGCGAACTCAACCATGCAGACTCAAATGGGTTACTGAAAAGTTCCTAAAATAAAGGAAAGGCAATTTCAATATCGATGACTCAGTCTTTAAGCCATATTTTGGGTCATAACTTTTTCAATTCCTAATCGATTTAGAAGTTAATATACAAATCGAAAGCTCTTGATGAAGGATTATTTTATCTAACAGAATTTATCTTATCAGATCAAGATACAAAAAGTTACAGCCTAATAAAGATCACAAATACCGATTGCGCGCACTTATCTAAATGTAACTTTTTGTAGGTTGATCTGATCAAATTAACTAGTTGGAAAATAATCCTCACATCCAGGGCTTTCGAGTGATAAAAGCTTTATTCTAATTAGTTAAACCAAAAAGATTATGGCACAGCAGATCAAAATAGGCAAAGGCTGTTACTCGCCTTTCAGTGCGGGAATATGGCTTAGTTGGGTAGTGCGCCCACTTTAAAGCGAAGTATGTGCAAGGTTCGAACCCTTCCAATGAAAATAGATTATACATGAGGGAAATCCTAATAATATCATTTCTAATTAACATTTAATGTCATTTTAAATTAAAATAAATTTTTTCAAAATAATTTTTTCTTGTTATTTTTCATTTTCTAAGGTCGTTTGTTCGGCCATTTAAAACTTTTTTTAAACGTTTAAAAAATCAATGAATTTGGTTTTAAAACAAAGATAAGACTTTGTTTAACGATTTGACTAAGATGAAATATTTTTTTCTAAGTTTTTTTTCGAGATAAGGCTTCTCGAAGTTGCACATCAAATCTTTAGAGAAATAGACATATGGCTGCCCAACATATGGCTGCAGGACTCAACCGGCGGGACTCAATGATCCCCTACCCCTGAAATACATAACGCCAGAATACAGTAGACAAAATCAATTAGTATAAAAGAATCATTTCTGCTTTTATTTTAGTGTCCACTTTGATAGAAAAAAGCTGTTTGACGTGTTGGGCTTATTATTATTTTCGTTTTTGTTACCTTTATTAGAAAAACTGTCTTCGTTTATTTATATTTATTTAAACGCGTTTTGATTTTTTAGTTTAGTGCTTTAAATTATAAAAAATGGCAAGACCTAAAGTATTCTTTGATATTACTCTTGGTGGCAAGGCGGCAGGTTTTTAGTAAATGTGTTTTATGAAGATATTCTAAACGTTTAGGTCGCATTGTGATGGAATTGTTTTCGGATATTGTTCCAAAAACGGCAGAAAACTTCCGTGCTTTGTGTACTGGGGAGAAAGGAATGGGACATAGCGGGAAACCTTTGCACTACAAAGGATCTAAATTTCATCGTGTTATTCCAAACTTTATGCTCCAGGTGTCTGATTTTATTATGATTATTTTAACATTAAAATTCAGGGAGGTGACTTCACTCGTGGAAATGGCACTGGTGGCGAGTCTATTTATGGAGAGAAGTTTGCCGACGAAAACTTCAAGGAAAAGCACACTTGCGCCGGTCAATTGGTATACCAATTCATTTTTAAAACTTGTTTCTACTAAATTTTACTTTCTAGTCTATGGCCAATGCTGGACCTAACACCAATGGATCTCAATTCTTCATTACGACTGTTAAGACAGAGGTTAATAGTCTACTTATAAGCAACGATTATATTTTTATTTTCAGTGGCTCGATGGGAAGCACGTCGTTTTTGGCAAAGTGATCGAAGGAATTGAGGTCGTCAAAGCTGTTGAGGCTATTGGCTCACAAAGCGGCAAAACTAGCAAGGTATATTTGAATATCAGCTAGTCAAAAACTAAAGTTCGTTTAGGACGCTGTCATCGCCGACTGTGGTCAATTGGCTTGATTATTTGATAGATTAGAAGGGATTTTGAATAAAAAAGGAATCGTAATAAAATAGAAAGTTTTCGATATTTAATTCCAGTAATTAAAAATGTTCTTTTGATTCCATGAAACTTATTTGTTAAAATTGTTCGTTTATGAAAAAGTAAATGTTGACTTTTGGTTTAAACATTTATTCTATAAAAATGAAAGTATTTTTTATGGTGAAATGTGTTCATTTCTTTGTCTTCTTCGTCTATTCTCCGCTAAATCAAGAAATCTACTTTCATCAATTGAGAAGCCTCGATTTTCCACATATTCTTTTATTGAGTCTAGCTCAATCCTATTTTTGTATATCAATTCGTAGACACAATCACCTTGAAGAAAATTTAAAAGCTAATAATAACTGAAAAAGAATTACCTGGGACTGTATCTCCTCTTGTCAAATTACTCAATATATTTTCAATGTGTTGAAATCCTTCGTCCTGTTGTGCCCAAAGTCGTCTTTCCTCATTTGCCACTTTTTCAACTATATTTCTTTCGTTGACCCACAAATCTGGATGAGCATCACCCTTAAATAACAAATTTTTAAAATAAATAAGTAAACAAACTAATTGTTTAGTGACCAAAGGCACTAATTTGGCAAGTGATCCTCGTTCTAAGCCTAATTTCGTATTGGAAATTATTGCGGTTTTCTTGAATAGATCTTTAATCTTTCTTCTAAAATTGAATATTAAAATAAAAATTTCTAGTATTCGGTTCGTGTTTAATCAAAAATTAAAAGTGCATACCTAATTTATCATTAAAAATATACCTACGCATATTTCTTAGTACTCGTAATATGCAATCCTTCAGCAAATGTTGCAACAATTGTGCGAATATGGTCAGAGACTATACGAAAAGCTGTGTCTTTTTCATTTGAATCTTCATGACCCCAACGTCCTTGATAGGTTAAACTATGAGGAGATAACTATAAAAAGTTAAGCCTTTTCTAAATGTCTCTACAAAAAAACCTCACTCATTTGATCAATTAATGGTTGAAATAAATCAGTCTCATAAGTAGAATTACAGTTTTGCATTATTGTACATAAACGTTCCAAACCCATTCCAGTATCAACAATTAACGGAGATGAGAGAGGTGTTACACGTCCATCACGATGTCTAATAAAAAAACATTTTAAAAGAAAAATGCCTAAAAACCTGTTATATTTCATAAAAACGACGTTCCAAAGTTCCATCAAATGAGGACTATCAAAATTAATAGGTGTTTGTCTTTCAATATTTTTACTCTTTTTGTCTTTACTATTAATCATTCGTCTATCAAAATGAATTTCTGTGCATGTACCAAAAGGTCCGATATCGCCCAAACTCCACAAATTTCGCTCAGCATTACAAGCAAATAAGTGAGTGTCAGGTACCCTATTTTTGAAATTAATTTAAAATATAATTAAAATAATAACCCCATCATTTGCCAGATATCCCTTGTTTCAATATCTTCATCATGAATTTCATCACCACCAAAATATGTTATATAAAGATGTGAAGGATTAATGGAAAGTTTTTGAGTTAAAAATTCCCAAACAAATTGTAAAGCTTCTTCCTTTAAATGATGAGAATTATAATTTTTTAAATAATAAAATTAACCTTAGAACAATCACCGAATGACCAATTTCCAAGCATTTCAAAGAATGTGTGGTGTTGATCATCATAACCAACCAAATCTTTATCGTTGAGTCGAATACATTTCTGCGAGTTAACCAAACGTTTTGCAGGTGGTTCTTGCTCACCAATAAGAATGGGAATAAACTTAAAGATTTTATTTATAACAATTTAGGTCAGAAAGGTAAAGTGCAAGTAAAAATGCAAGGAATTTTGGATGATTTATACCAAAAATTAACCTGTTGCACTCCAGCACATGTAAAATCACTCTGATTATATAAATTATGTTTAACGATTACTGGGCCAGATGGAACTTTTAAATGAGAACGACTGATGAAAAATTGCATAAAAAGTTCACGTAAATACTTACTAGTATTCATAATTCTAAAATTGATTAATATTTTGGATCATAATATAATTTAAATTTTTTAAAGAAAAAATAAGGAAAAACACCTAATTAAACTCTTCCATTATAAGTTAAAGATTTAAACCAAAAACATTATATAATTTAAAACATCAAAACAACGATAGAGTAATTAATGAAAAAATAAAATGTAAAAACAGAACAGATTTTTCGTAAATAAACAAAAAATTCTTTTATTAAGTTTCAACCTTCTTTTTCTTCTGTTCAACAGGTTCATCATCCTCTGCAGTTTTCTTGTTATCTTCAACATTTTCATCCATTTCTTCAGTATCCTTTCCATCCCCTTTTTCATTTTCTTCATCCTCATCATTGTCAAAAACAGTTCTCTTAAAAAATAAGGATTTGTTTAAAAAACTAAAGGGTAAGAATTATGCGCGAATTTTTTTAAGATTTCCAAAACAAGAGATAACTATTTTTAAGTATAAAAATATTTTTTAAACATACCTTTCCTGTCTTTTCATTCTTTGCTACATGTCCAGATCCCTTATCTGCTCGTCGTTTCCTATTTGCTTTCGAGTTACGGTCAAACTGCTTCTTGCCTTTCTGTTGCTTTTCAACCAAATCGTGTTTTGCCAATTTTGCTTTAGAAAAGTCGGCCCAATATTTTTCTTCATCTTCACCATCAAGCACCGATCCGGTAATTTCATTACCTTCAAAGATCACTTTTCCCTCCGAATCGCCATTCTCTTTCGCCGAGTTCACCGCCTTTTGCCAGGCACTACTTGCTGCATCTTCTTCGACAGAAAAGAAGCGAATCGTCGCCTAAAATTTGTTTTGAGAAAGTATCAGAAAACAAAAAAACCTCATTTCCTTCAATATTAACATAAGCAGGTTTGCCAAAAGGTTCAAAAAATGCTTTTAACTTAGCAATCAATGATACATGATTGACGTCCTCATTCTTCATACCACAAATTTTCAAGACAACTCCCTTCTTAAAATGCGCCTTGTTTTGTTGTTCAATTTGAGTTTTCTTCATCTGTTTTTTCAAATCCTTTTGTTTAACACGTTCAGCGTGTTTATCTGCCCAGTAGGCATCTTGCATTTTGTTTACGAGCTGAAATTCTTCCTTAAAAACAATAAATAAATAAATAAGAGAAGAGAACAAAAATTACGTTAAATTTAAGATCTTTAATATCCGCAAGTCGTTTAGCTTGATCTTTGTCTTTAAAAGTAACAAAAATTGAGCCCTTGAACATTCGCGGAGTATCTTTTCCAACTTTAGTCTTTCTCATCAAAATATTTTCAACATCGCCAAACTTCCCAATAAATTCAGAGATCTCATCGAGTGTTGTTTCAAGAGGAAAACCTTTCTAAAAATATCAAACACAAATATATATAAAATAAAAATTTAATAAAAAACCAAATAAACAGTTCGTCGTTTAATTTCTTGCCAATACTCCAAAGTATTCTCAGGCATCGGCACCTCGGGATTCCGACGGATTTTTAAATTGTCATCAGAAATTTCGATCAAATGAGACTCTTTAAGCGATGCAGTAATATTTTCAATATCTTTAGTTAGAGCAGCAAGACGATTAAACTTAAGCATAGTAGAAAGAGGAATCCCTAAATATTTAATTAAGGAAAAATTATTTTAAATTTAAGCTTACATCCATTATCTTTTTTCATCTCTTCTTGAATAAACTTGTCACGCGGAAGATTAATATCCCCAAAGTAGTACTGAAATTTAAAAAAATTTGTAGAAAAATAAAATAAATGATTAAATAATTTTACCTCAACTTGTTTCATAATTTTTTCACATTTATTAGGATTAGTATCCTTTGAATTTCCATTCATAGCAGCAGACATTATTGAAAAGTTTTAACTGAAATATTTAGCTAAAAAATTATTAGAATGTTATTTCGAACAGTAAATTGAGAATTGGAGGGAATTGGGCGTAAAATAGGAAAAGCAGAATTTTCTTGGGACTGAAATGTCCTGGACGGTTAAATTGTTAAATTTGAAAGTGTTAAAATTAAAAACGTTAAATTACTGTAGAAGGGAAAAAGGGAAAAATTTGGAGAGTGAATTGAGCAAAAAAGTGTAACTTTTTTGCCTATGATCGTCCAAATTAAAAAATTTTTCGCCTGCGTACTGAAAAAAAATTTAGTTTTATTAATTTTTTTACTTTTAGATTGTGAAATAATGGAAGAAAATGTTAAAAGATTTAAAATAATTTTCTGGCCCGTTCATGAGTACCAGCATATTCCGCCAGACTTTGACGTTAAAACTAGAGAAATTGTTGAGGTTTTTTTATTAAATTTTAAGTTGAGATGGGTATTCCTCTACGAAAACAAAAAAATTAAATATGATTATTTTTTTATTTTAGAGCGCATTATCAGACAGTTATTTGCTCAACACCCTCCAATTTCGAATTGTAATTGACATTGAGCCACAGAGACTTGGAGAAGAAGAGCTTGATGCGCGACTTGAATATTCACTTAAATTAATGGAGAAAGCAACAAATGATCATTTGATGCACATGATCAATTTTTTTAATCTTTTTTTGCAACATAAAATTCAAATGGCTCAATATACATTTACTTGTGCCTTTGTTTTAACAACTAGAGAATTCTTTAAAGTTGACTTTAAGTATGAATTTTCGGATTATTTAACAAATTAAATATTAAATCTTTATTTTTTAGTTCTGCTAACCTTGAGATTCCTACACAGAATTGCTCATTTTTAAATATGATCGATCGTACGAAACCATTCTTACATCGAAAAGTTGCTGTAAATCAAGATCCAGCTCGAATAATGAACCGCTACTACAACAAGGCTGATATTGTTTGGCCTATGCTTACTGACTTTGAGCACGACAAGCGACAGCTAGTTATTCGTTTCCCTTTCACTGATAGACAACGTTTGTTGATTTTCCGTGATGTGAATTTTTTACATTTTTAGGTCGTGAGGAAGGTTCAGAAGAGGTTTGTTATGTTGTTTCTCTTACAATTCGCTACAGACAAATCAAACGCGTTTTGGCTGACTTCAAACATGAGAAAGGTCGTGGTCAATTTAGTTTGTATGTTCTTTTATTTTTAATTCTTATTTTAAAATTTGGGTACTTTCTGCACCAAAATTTGCCTTAAAAATTTAGTGCAGGATTTTTTTTATAAAATTTTTAACCTTCCTTCTTGTTATAAAGACATTGAAATCTTTTAACAATTAATAATTTATGTTCTTTAGGGAGCTTTACTTCCATCTTTCATCTCCGGCAATCATTCGACGTGTTAAGCTTTATGCTCAAGATCCTAAAAAGCCTGCTTCTAGTAATAATTTGTTACACAAGCAAGGTGATAGATACGTTTCTTGGGATCTTCGAGACCCTTATTTGGCGGGTGAAGTTAACGAATCGCCAATTTTTCGTATCATGTTATGTGATTTGGCAAATGAGGAGTATTGTCAGGTTAGTTTTTCATATATTTAAACTTTTTACTTTGTTATTATGGCAACACGACCTCCGTGGTAAACTAAAACGTATTTTGGAGGCAGGCCCGTAACTAGGATTTTTTTTCGGGGGGGGGGGGGAAATTTTTTGCGCCAAATTTTTGGCGCCGAAGGCGCCAAAAATTTTTATTTTCAGCGCCGCAGGCGAAAATTTTGAGAATTTTAGAAGGCCGTAGGCCAAAAAAATTCACTTTTTCGGCGCCGCAGGCGCCAAAAATTTGATTTTCAGCGCCGCAGGCGAAAATTTTTTGAATTTTGGACCTCAAGAAGCCAGATTTCGTCCTTTTTTAGCGCCGCAGGCGAAAATTTTTTAAATTTCAGAGGCCGTAGGCCAAAAAATTCACTTATTTTGCCCCAGCCCTTCCCCAAATTTTTTCCTTTTTCCCATTTCGGGGGGGGGGGGGAATTCCCCCCCTCACCCCCCCCCCTGGTTACGGGCCTGTTTGGAGGGGTTAACATTAGATAAAATACAATATCGATACCAAAGTCAACATTCGTAAAATATCATAGATGGATTTTTGAATCTTATTTTTTGCTTTAACTTTGGGCTGCAAATCTCATACGCCAATCATTTTTATTACCATTTTCTTTTTTTTCAATTTTAATGCACTAACTTTCAGTCTTATCTACTTTAATTTTAGCTCTTAAATCGTTTGGCCATGTCTGCAGAGCGCTTTGTTGAATTCCGAACTTTTACTCCAGATGCTTTCTTTCCCTTTCGAAAGTTATAATTTTTCTCTTTTTTTTTAAATTTTTTTTAACTTTCAGGTTTATTCAATCTCCACTTGAAAATGAGAATTGTCGTCAGATGTGTGAGAACAATTATAAATTATTGTATATGATTGCAGCACTTTTATCTCGAGGAGCAATTGTTAAGGACTATTTAATGGTAACTGAAGCATCACGGGATGAATTTGTACAGCGGTGTTCAAAAGATTTTAAAAGGGATAAAGCTGTATGTGTTTCTAAAAGAATCATTTATTTTTTTTGTGTTTAGCTATCGTTGGAAGTTATTGAGCAAGTACTGGCTGAAATTGATAAACGTTTAGATTGCATCCATCCAATGCAAATCTACAAATGGATTTACCACCGTTTAAGTCGTAATGTTGATGCAATGAAACAAATCCATGAGGATATGATGCGAGAGGGATATGTACGCGTTAGAAAAGTTTATATGATTTAATTTTTAGATTTACTTTTTAATTTTTAGGTATTAATTACTCCAACACGAATGCTTTTTGTTGCACCTGAATTGTTAATGGGAAATCGTGTGTTGCGATTGGATGCTGAAAAATATCCTCTTGATAAATTTCTTCGTGTTGTTTTTCGTGATGATGATGGTAAAAAGATTAAAAGTTGTATACATGTAATATTTTTCCCTTAAACAGGACAATCTGTCCATGCTGTGAACATTGGTGCCGTTCTTATTGATCGTTTTATTGGATTACGCCTTAGAAATGGCATTGAAATTGCTTGTAATAAACTATTTTATTATATAATATTTTTCTATATTTAGGCCGTAAATTTAACTACTTTGGTTCTTCTAATTCTCAAATGCGTGATAATGGTTGTTATTTCATTAATGCAAGTTTTGAAGAAATCGAGGATATCCGTAAGCAGTTGGGCTCGTTCAAAATACAATCAGCGCCTAAAATGATGTCTCGGATTGCTCAATGTTTTACTCAAGCTCGGGTAGGCGTTGTGGAAAACTATTTTTTATTAAAGATTTTTTTAAGGAAACGGGCTTAGAATTGGAACGTCGTCATTATGCGACAATTCATGACTATCTTGGCGGCAAAGATACAAATTCTGAGCCATATAATTTCTCTGATGGGGTGGGGCGAATCAGTTACGAAACTGCTAAGGAATTGAGTCGTGAGCTTAAATTGGATGGTTGCGTGCCTTCTTGCTTTCAAATACGTTTTCGCGGCTATAAAGGTGAATAAGTTCTATATATTATCTCTTAAATTATAGGCGTTTTGTCTGTTGATAAATCTATGGATGAACTTCGTGAATGGGGAGTTCGCAATGGTGTGCAAGATACTACAAACTGGGAAAAGCGTGATTGTTGGCTCGATTTACATATTCAATTTCGGCCTTCGCAAAAGAAATTTAAAGCACCTAGAGCTAATCAAAAGTTGGAAATTGTTAAATATTCTTCACCTGTTTCATTGTGTTTGAATCGTCCTGTTAACAATATTCTTGATCAAGTGAGTTATATTTACTAGTAAAACTGGTAAATTTTTTAGGTATCTGCTCAACAGAGTAAAGCTTCTCATCAACGAATTTGTAATCGCATTCACCATCTTATGGATTTACATCTTCATATGCTGACACGCTCCTTAATTGACGAGACGAAAGCTCGAAATCGACTTGGTGAATTTCCTAAAGTGGTATGATAATTTAATTATAATAATCTAACAATAATAATCTAACAATCTAAATATAATAATGTTTCCTACTTTTTAGATACTTTATGATCAAATAACTGACCTTAATTTAACAAAAGAACCGTTCTTTCGTTCGATGATAAGTGCTTCTGTGCGAGCTTCATTGAGTATGTTGTCGAATTGGGTACACCTATGTACCGTAAGGCCAACGTACATTACTTTGTAATATTTCGATTAAGCTTGTCGAGACGCATTGAACCATACCAGTGCGTTCGAGATTCTTATTGATGCATGGGCTTGCGGTACATTGAAAGTCTCCCTTGCAGATTAAGTTTGCTTTCATAGTGTATTTTGTATTTTAAGAAAAGTTGCGCCTAAAACTTCAAATTCCCATTCCTACAACGCTGGGCCGTGCGATGTTTGGTATTGTAGATGAAAGTGGACAGTTACAATATGGACAAGTATTTATTCGTTACACAAAAAATGCTGCATTGAAATTGCCAATGCCAACAGCCGAGCGTCAAGTTCTAAAGGGTAAACTTCAATATAATTATACGGTTCTCTTGTGTTATTTCACTCCCCAGCCCAATTTTTGTTTTTTCCGACTTGATCGGCTGTAACTTTTTATGCTTATCTAATCCGAATGAATCTTATATCATTCTAAAGCCCTCCATAAACCCTAACTTTTTTCTAACGATTTTTCTAATGTGACTTATTTATATTTTTAGGTCCAGTGATGATCACAAAAAATCCTTCAATTGTTGCCGGCGATATACGTATGTTTAATGCTGTAGATATTCCTGCTTTGCATCATCTTTGTGATGTTGTTGTTTTTCCACGCTATGGACCTAGACCACATACAGATGAAATGGCTGGTTAATTTTTAAATCTCAAACTTTGAAAATATCTTATAAAGGTTCTGATTTGGACGGCGATGAATACACCGTGATTTGGGATGAGCAACTTTACCTTGATAAAAATGAGGATGCATTTGATTACACTTGCAAGTCTTTTATTTTTTAAGCGTATTATTCTTCTTGCTTACTAATATAAGGGCTCAAGAAGCAGCGGCAATAAGTGAGAAAGACTTACGTGATAAAATGGCAGAATTTTTTGTTGACTATATTAAACAGGACTCCATTGGTCGTATTGCAAATGCATTCTTAGTCAATTCAGATTTATATGGCATCAAAAGTGAAATTTGTATGAGAGTGAGTTTTTCCAATTGTTAAGAATTACGTCAATTCTGTCTTCAATTTATTAATTTCGTTCTTTTTTACTCAGATAGCTGCAAAACATATGGAAGCAGTTGATTTTCCCAAGACTGGCGTTCCACCCCAGTCTCTTACTAAAAATTGGGAGCCTGAAAAGCCTCCCGGTGAAAATGGAGAACCGGGTCAGCCAGCAATGCCTCCAGAGCGCGCTGAACGTTCGCCAGATTTTATGGAGAAAAATAACGAACCCATGTATATATCGTCACGTTTGAACGGCCAACTTTATAGGTTTAATATTTTATTGGTTAATTGTAAGATATTTTTTATTTTAGAAGAGCAAAAGAAATTGACGACATTCTGACAATTGCTACTCAGGATGAAGAGATGGCAAATATCGAGTTGATTTATTATTTGATATTTTAATGTAATATTTTAAAGACTAGATCCATTAATCACTTACCCTGGTTGTGATGATCCAGCAATGCTTGATTTGGCACAACAACATTATGAATCTTACTCGGCAAATATTCAGGTCTTTATAAATATTTTGTTAAGTTCACATGGATTTTAAGAACGTTCTCGACTGTTATGGAATTAAAGCCGAGGGTGAACTGTTCTCTGGACATTTTGCTTCGTTGCGAAATCGGCTTAGTGATAAGGATAGTGACGATATGAGGTTTTTTGTTGTCAATTCTTTTTTATGTAATTTTTTGGTTTAAGTTTTTACAACACTACCAATGCAATTGAGCAGCAATTGTTCAGCATTTTTAGTCGTTTTCGGCGTCAATTCTTTGAAACTTCCTTTAATAATAATCCTGCCTATCGGTATGAAGATGTCACAGTTCCTGTTCATTCTTATGCTCGTACAAATGGCGTAAAGGTATTTATGATATTAAAACAAATTCTTTTACCTTATTTAGGATGTTTTTCGACGCATATGTATTGATCCAACTGATGACTTCAAAAGATTAGCTTGTGCTTACTACCAAATTTCATATAGTAATTTTTATATTTATTGTTTATTTTGAGAGATGGGATAAACATTTCTAATTTTTAAATCTTTTAGATTCTACAACTCATCATCTTCTTTCTTTTCCATGTATGATTTGCGTTTATAAAATTTTAGAATTTAAACAAGCTAAATAAATACGTTGTAAGACTAATTAGGAATGGGATAAAGAGTACACATGAAATAATTTAAGATAAATTATATAAAGTTGTCACCATTAATTTTTAAGGGCTTGCTTGGGATGTGATTAACGCGCTTCGACGAGTGAATGCTGTTAATTCACTGAAATCTGACAATCGTTATTCTTTTGATCCATTAAGCGATAAAATCTCAGAACATATTGAGGAATATCTTTTAAACAGAAAAAAACAATTTAGGTAAACTTTTAGCTATTTTTAAATATTTTTGTTTCAGGGAGTTCGTAAAAGTCATGCAATCTCCAGAAAGTATGCCATCTGAAGATCAAGAGGCATACAGAATACTTAATCTTTACTGTTTAAATTATGAAGGTTTGGATTACAAGTTTTTTTAATTTTTATGACTTCTTAAGGATTGGACAAACTTCTTTTCTATTGTGTGAAGTGGGCAAGAATGTGGCGACTTTTGGGTGACGGTCAGAGTGGAATAACACAATTACATATTTGTATATTGCTTATCCAATTTGGTCTTAATCATTTGCCTTGTGAGGCGATTGAATCTCGACCATTTTGGCTTGAACAGGTTTTTGCTTAAAATTTTTTCAAATATATTTTTAAGATTCAAACGGATGCGTTTGATACTCAAAGAGTTGTAAGTCTTGAGCGCCAACATGGAGGTTTAGGAAACAAATTTTTTCTCTTCATGGAATTTCTTGCATCTCGACAATTTCATTTATTACAAGTTTTGGATTTTAGTGAACCTGGAATGCGTTATCAGTCAGTATTAATGCATACTCAACTTGAATATATCCACAAGGTATTTTTATACATTTTCAATTAAAAGATTTATTGCTTATTTTCTTTGTAAACATTATCTTAAATTCTGTTTTACTTGGGTGTACTTGTGTAATCTTGGTTAAGTGGTTGTGGTTTGGGATTTTTTGTGTGTGTCCTAAATTTTGTAAAGCCTATGATGATAATCTGTGCATGTATTAATCGAAATTTCATGAGAACTGACGATCGATTCTGAGGCTACTATTTTTAAAATTGAATTATTAAACCTTGATTTAGAATTTTTTGAAAATTTAGGCTGGACTTCAAACTTATCATCAAGTAGCATTTACTTTTCGGCTTGAATGTATTCCCGGCACAGCATCTCAACGTGAACGGAATGGCATTACAAGTCCTCAAGAACGTGAATGTGAACCATTTATAATTGAAGTGCCGGCAAGTCGTCAAGAACAAGTTATCAATAATTATGATTTGCTGAACAAGCTTTGTGATGCAACCGGGTGTACCAACATTGTTTTTCGCGATTTACCCAAATATAAAGGTTTATCCAAGTGCATTACTTTTTACAAATTGCACATTTTAGATTATGAAACTGTTCGACTATATGTTTCTGCAACAGGGCAATTACAAGCACTTAACAAATTACGGGAATTATTGGCTGTTCGTGCACCATTAAATCTTATTGGCGATTGTCGTCAGATTTTCACACAAATGGCCGAACAACTTTATGATAGATTAATTAATTTGTAAAAATTATTATAAATGTGCCTAATATATTTTTCCAAAATACTATTTATTTTATTCCGTTTACGTCTCACGCTTTTCTTATTTTTTGGGCTCAAGTCTGTTCTTTGTATTTTTTGCCTCAGAAGATATAAGCCTTTTTTGATCTCGGTTGTTATAAATTCACTTTTTTTAACTATTTCGTTCAGGTTTATCTTGCATTTTATTGCATTTAATTTATTTCTTTCATGACTTTTTGTTTCGTGTAAAATTGAAGGAATTATCTTAACATTTTCGATTTCTGTAGTTGGCAGTTCGAATTCATATTTTAATTGTAATTTGTTTTTTGCTTATAATTAGTTCACAAACAAATGAAATGCTGGAGTATTGAGCATGTATTCAAGTAAGTGCATGTTTGAAAAGTAATTTTGAAGACCAATTATTTAATTTTTAGTCATCCGTGGCATATTGTGGTTGGTGCGGCTTTTAAAAAATATCCGAATCCAGAGAATGAAGATATTCTTGGGATCGATGTTATTAAACAACGTTTAAGGAATGGTGTGCTTTATTCTGAAAGAATTATTCAATCAAATTTTCACATCCCTGTCTGGGCTAGCAAGGTATTAGTAGATTTACTTTGAATTTTTACTCTTTTTAAAAGTTGGGTGGATTCAGTGGTCATCAATATTCTCTTGAATCTACTCAAGTTGATCCTAAAAATCGGGTAATGACACTTGTTACGAGAAATGTATGTTTTATTTAAAATTTTAATCTGTAAAATTTTAGTTAAATTGTTATCATCTTTTACGGATTGATGAACGTTTGACTTATACTTCAGCTGCTGATACTGCTCAAACACGTCTAAAACAGGAAACAACAATTTCCGTCAATTTACCTTTTCTTAAGGATTTTTGCGAGAGGAGTTTTCTTTCAATTTACACTCATTATGCTCAAAGGGTAAAATATCTTTAATTCTTATTGAAACATAATCAAACTCTTAGTCTATTTCGGCGTTTGAAAATTCTTTTTCAAATCGAATACGTAATCTCGATACTAATAATTCGTTCGTATCAGACCATGGAAGTTTAAAATACTGCTAGCTTTTTCATATAACAATGTAAAATAATCATTTTCTATTAAGGGTCCAGAAGGCCTTAAATGGGTGATCCAGCACGAATTCAATGGGCAAAAGTGATTTAAAATATATTTGGAAATATTAGATCTCCAGATTTTTATGTTTTCCCTTTGTTATGCAAATGATTTTATTAAATTTTACACTTTTATTTTTTCATTTTTAATAGTTTTATTCTTTTTACATATTATATTTAAATCGTTTTTTATTTAAATTTCTTTCAAGTTATAATTTAAATTTATATTTACAAATGTTCATCAGAGCAGCTCCGCCATCTGACCAGAAACCTTATAGACCACCTCCAGGAAAATTGTCAATTTTTTCTTCCATTTACAACGATCCTTATTATTGGTATGTTTTTCTTAAAATTAAAAATCATTCTTTAAAATTAGGTCGCTTACAAAAAGTATTGTTGGTTTTGCTGTCGGTGTTTTTGTTGCGAGACATTTGAGTGAAGAATTGAATTCTGCTGATGTTGGGTTTTGAAAGGATTTTTCTTTGATTATGAGAAGTTATTTTGTTAAAATTTTTAAATATTGATAAATTTATGAAAGTTTTATTATTCCGTTTACACATAGGATATTATTCCAGACAGCTTTTACATCGAGTATTTTGTTAATTTATTGTTGTGTAATTTTTGGTTTAATAATAAATTTGCCAAAAATGAGTAAACATTTAATCGACGTGTCTGTTGCCGTACTTGAAGATCATTTTGGCTATTACATCGCGCGTATTGGGAATATATTGTTGCGTGAGGCATTACCTTTGGCTCTTTTAGCAAGAAACTTAGCTCCTTTGAAGATTTCACTAAAAGATGTATTTTTTCTAATTTTATACTTTGCTATTATTTTTAATTTTCAGATAAGAAATTCATTGGCTATTCTTGACCAACATAATTTGTTAACGTTTGAATTGGGTTCTCGTTCTATTATTTACTCAATTTGCCCTAATCAAGTTCTTTATTTGATAAGTGCCCCTCGTGCAATTTTGGTTTTTATATTTTATATAATTTTAAAGAAAACAATTTTTTAGTTAATTAAAACTTTATATGAAGGGGTTACTGATGCTATTTTTGAAGATATTTTGGCTAAAGGACGTTCTAGTTGTTCTGATTGCATTCGTAGAGTTTCCAAATGTATGGATGATTTACCTTTTGAAAAAGTTTTTTTTAAATTTTTTTTTAAATAAAATTTTAATTTTAGGTTAAATCTGATTTTTCTAAACTTTTATCTTCTCAAATACTTATTCGATGCCCTCAAGTTGCTGAAGAATCTTCAGAAGTATTTCCTGTGTTTCAAGTTGAATCCGATCTTTTTTTGCTACCGGATATGATACTTGATGGATATTCTGATGCTGAAAATGATTCTGTTAGTTATTTAATAAGTAATTAAAAATTTCTTTTATAACCTTTAAATTCTGTCTCTCTTACTTTTCCCAGTAATTTTGAATTTCAATTAAAATATTGTTAATATTTAGGAGACAATTAAATCAAAAACTAAAAAATTGGACAGCGATTCTAATATTCTTTGGAGAGTTAATTGGACAAGTATTGAACTTTTGTTTCGTGATGATTTAATTCTTGATTCACTTATTGGCGGTTCTCAAAATGATTTATTTGATAAAACAACAGTAAAAGTTGCACAACTTATTTTAAAAGTTGGAGATGCTAAAAATAAAAATAATTTATTTATTGGACAATCTTCGCCTATTTCTGTTGGGTTTTTATTTGTTTTACTAATATAATGAAAAAATAATTCAAAAAAATTTTTTTTGGATTTATTTTGCATTTATTTGTGAAAACACTGCCAATTTTAACAAAATAATTTTTTTCCAAATTTTTTTAGCTTCAAGATGTTTGTCGTTATGTACATGAAAATCAACTTGATTATAATCGTGAAGTTTTGGATGAAAAATTAAATATTATTTGTAGAGATATGACTGGAATTTTACGTCGAGTTGGTGATAGTGGTGGGGGTGTTTATATAATTAGTTATATTATTTTTGGAAATTTTTGAATAAAAATTTTTTTTTAGATTATGAAAAGGGTATTGAAACACTTTGTTTGGAACATATAGAATCGGCAATAAGAGAAAAAATAAATGATAAAGCTGTTAGAATATTTAGATTATTAAATTCTAGAGGCTTTTTAGAAGAAGAACAGGTTTAGAATTAGTATTTTTTTAATTAAATTTTTGTTTTTTAAGTTAGAAAAGGAGGCAATGCTTTCTTCTAAAGAAACAAAAGAATTGTGTTGTTCTTTAATGGATAATAGCTTTATTACAACTCGGGTATTTTGTTTTTAGCCTTTAAAATAAAATTAATTTTTGGTACACATTCAATTAACTTTCCGTTTAAAATTATATCCCAAACCGGAATTCTTATATCAGATTTTATTTAAAAAAATTAATTTAAAATTTTATAGCAAGTTGCTCGTGCCAATGATTTTGCCCCTGCTCGACTTACTTTTTTATATATTGTAAATAAATCTCAATTATTAAGTGCTGCTATTGATTATACTCTACTGGTATTTTATTTATTTCAATTTAAAAATTTTTTTAATTAAATAGACAATTAGAAATGTAATTAGAAGAAGAATGGTTGAAAGAGAAAAATATGAGTAAGAGAATTTTTTAAATTATTTAATTTTTTTAAAAAGAATAAAAAAATATATTTTTGGATTTTTCAGAGTTGGTAGAATAATTTTAGTTATTAGCCTTATTTTAAATTATCCAGTTAATTTTTCAGATTTATTTTTTATGTTTTTTAATTTAATTTTTTAATCTCCCTCCCCCCTCCTCTTTTCTTTTATAATTTAACCATTTTTTAGACCACTATTGGATCGCCAATTAAAAATGGAAGTAATTATAAGTAGTATCGAAAATGATCAAAATATCGCTGAAGATGATGAAGAAACAAAAAAGGAACAGGTTTTTGTAGTTTTTATTTATAATTTAAAATTTTTTTAAAGATTGCGGAAGTAGAGCGTGCCTACATGACAACAGAGGATCGTCGAAATTTGGAACGTTTTCGCCGTGCTGAACGAAAATTTTGTTCTGCAGAAATTGAATTGGGACGTTTACATTTTGCTTTAAAACATTTTTATCAATTAAGACAACAAATAAATGCTGAACAACAAAGACAAATTTCAACACAAGGAAAGCGTAAAAGAACATATCAACAAGCACACTTTTCATAGAAAATTTATTTTAGTGAATAAATTTTGTTGAATTTTAATTGATTAATTTAAAGAGTAAAATTATTTTGAATTATTTAAATTCTACTTATATTTTTATTTGTTTTAATTTACTGAATTGTGTATTTTTTAGAATTAAAAAGGAGTACAGCTCAAATTTTAAAGAAATGTCACAGCATAAACAACTTGATCCGAAACTTGCCAGTCAATTACAAGAAAGTTTTACAAGTGTTGGAGTTAATCAAGTTATTCTAAAATTGACCAGTCGTTGTTTTGATATCTGCTATGGAGATTATGCACCACACAAATTACCGGCTTCGAGTGATAAACGACAAGCAACATGTTTGGAAAATTGTACTCAACGTCTAGTGGAAAGCTATGAATTTTTAAACAAACATTTGGAGAAAATGGAGTTGAGAACGTGAGAAGATAAAATGATATTCGTTTAAAATTGTTGACTTATGTAACATTAAACTATTTTTGCTTGTTCTTCTTGTCTCAAAGCCGGCTTAGAAAGTAAACTTAAACTTTATTTCTTTACCGTGTTCCCAACAAATAAAACATCTAACTGTAAACCGAAAATTTTTTTATCGATAATACAATTTTTAATAGGTTTATCGATTTATAATCAGATGCGATCATAGCGGTACTTTAGCCAATTAGGGTTGAATGGACAAACAAAACATTCATTTAAAAAAAGTCCAAAAAATTGATCGCATCCTTATTTTACATATCAAGAAAAATCAAGGAATTATAGTCCGATACAATGACAGCATTATGCCGATCCCGTTACTTTCTTAGTTTCCACCACGAAGACGCAAGACCAAGTGAAGAGTCGACTCCTTCTGAATGTTGTAGTCAGCAAGAGTACGACCGTCCTCGAGTTGCTTTCCAGCGAAGATCTAGAAATTTGAAATGAGTAAAAATTAATTGTATGAATATCGAACCAGACGCTGCTGATCTGGTGGAATGCCTTCCTTGTCCTGAATTTTGGCTTTGACATTTTCTATGGTGTCAGATGCCTCAACTTCGAGGGTGATAGTCTTCCCAGTCAAAGTTTTCACGAAGATTTGCATTCCACCACGAAGACGCAAAACGAGGTGAAGAGTTGACTCCTTCTGGATGTTATAATCGGCAAGAGTACGCCCATCCTCAAGCTGTTTACCAGCGAAGATCTAAAAATTGAGCTTGAAAATTAAACAAATGTCAAGTAAAAACCAATCGTTGCTGATCAGGAGGAATTCCTTCCTTATCTTGAATCTTGGCCTTGACGTTTTCGATAGTGTCGGAAGCTTCAACTTCGAGAGTGATGGTCTTTCCAGTAAGAGTCTTAACGAAAATCTGCATGCCACCGCGAAGACGCAAAACAAGATGGAGAGTCGATTCCTTCTGGATATTATAGTCAGCAAGGGTGCGCCCGTCCTCAAGCTGCTTTCCAGCAAAGATCTAAAAATTGAGATTGAAAATTAAACAACTAGGAAATAATAACCAATCGCTGCTGATCTGGAGGAATTCCTTCCTTATCTTGAATTTTCGCCTTCACATTTTCGATGGTATCAGAAGCCTCAACTTCAAGAGTGATCGTTTTTCCAGTAAGAGTCTTGACGAAGATCTGCATATTGGAGAGTTGGATATTTGTTTATATTCAAAAATAGCTGAAAATATTTAAGCTTTTATAAGGAAAGTTTTAAAGAAATTTAAATTTCTTAAGAAAAGAATTATCTAAAACAAAATGATGAAATTAATGTCACAGGATAGAGGACCAAAATAACCAAGGAAACTGAAGAAATAAATGAAGAATGGTGAATAGCAGCACGAAACTATTCGTCTTAAATGGTGTCGATTTGTTGTAAAAACGATCGATTAAAATTACTGTATATTTCGTTTCAAAATATATTTATATTATCAAACTGCAAATTTTTCGACATTTTATCCAATTTATTATTTTTATTTTTTTTGCAATTTAATTTAATTATTTCTCTTTAAATTAGTCGTTTAAATTTTCTTTAGTTAATTAAAATGTCCAAAGGAGCTGTCAAATTTACAAAGGAAGATGAGCTTTTGCTGAAGGTTTGAATTTAATTTTCACATTATAGTTAATTAATTAATTTAATAGGATTTTTCTTCCGCTGTTTCCAAAAAGAATCAAGTCGTTTTCTACGGAATTTCGTCTTTTGTTGGAATTACACCAATTTATTTGTTTTATGGGGCCCATCAAATGGAAATTTCTGATTCATGGTTTATTTGGATTGCGGCTGCTGTTGGCGTTGCTTATTTGTTGGCGCTTTCTTATAAAAATATGAAACACGTGCTTAAACATCAGTAAGTTTTTTAATTTTTCTTTTTAATTTTATATAATTAAATTTTTTCCTAAAAATATTTTATTAATTTCCTGTTAGGATTGTTATTAAACGAGGAGATGCTATTGCTCGTGAAATGAATCGGTTACTTGCAGATGACAAGAAGATGTCGAAGAAAGAAAGAGATGAACGAATATTATGGAAGAAAAATGAAGTTGGCGATTACGAAGCAACGCTTTTTACTATTTTTTACAACAATGTGGTAATAAATGTTTTTTAAATTATTTTTAACTCGAACTTTTTAGCTTTTCTTTGCGCTTCTCATCTTTCTTTCCTTTTTTGTTCTCGCCAGTATCACGCCTCCATTTAATTGTCTTGTTTCAATGCTTGGTTCAGCTGGTATTGTTCTTTTATTGTCTACATCAAAATGATTGGAAATTAATTTAAAAAGACAATTGTTTTGTTGTGTACAAATTTAATAGAAAAAGATATGATCTTTAAATTTTTGAGAATATTTTTAAGCTTTAGTGTTTAAAATTTTTCGAATACATTTAATTATTTTAATTTTATAGATCATATTTGTGACTTTAATTTATGGTTTCTTTGATTAAAATATATTGTATTTGATAAACTAATTTGTTGTTATTATTTTTAAATTAGGTTAAATTCCAAATAAGACATAACAATTTTGAAAAAACTGTAAACAATTCCCTGTTTAAAAAATCTTTTCTGTTAAATTTCCCTTTTTAAATGATATTTTTAGAAATTGTTTTATTTTTAAAATATGGCTTATTGTAATCGAGAACCGTCTCCTGTATTGAGACGGAAGGAGAAGGATCGATGTATGGAATTGTTACTTGACGAGGATAAGGTTTTTTTAAATATATTTTGTATTGTTGGGGTTCTCTTGTATATTTGTTCATTGAGTGTCATGAAAGCTTTTAAGGCCGGGGGAAGGAACTTTATATCTGAATATATTTTTATAGATTCATCGTATTTTACTTCGCAGTCCAGCAATTTGTAGATTAGCAAATATTGAGTCGCCGAATTGTATTTGGTTTAAATTAGTTAATCACATAAGCGATGATTTGAGAGTTGTTAGACCGTAAGTTTGTCTTCTAAGCGAAATTTATTTTCGTTAATTTTCAGAGCAAAACTTGAACCACTTTTACCTAAAAGTAAAAAACCGGAAATAAACAAAGATGATGTTACTTTAAATTCGCCTGTTTTCTCTTCCACTTTGCCTGCAAATAATGGATTGAATATTACAACAAATACAGAAAATCCTGATGGAGTATTAGTGCCGGAAGAAGAAACTTTTCAACTTCAAAAACCTCGTTCAATTCAACTTTATGATTATGTTTTGGCACCTTTAGAAGCTAATGTTTATGCACGAGCAAGGGTATTTTTATTTATTTTTTGGTTGTTTAATACTTATATAAAAAACCCCAACTTGTCCCTATTTTTGGGGGTAAAATCCTTTCAAAAAAGTCCTGCGCCCCGGCCGAAGGCCGAGGAATTTTTTCAAAGGTGGATTTGTCCTGTAACTTTTTGCGCTCTATTCAGGAAAATTATGACCTCGGCGCTGAAACGTCGTTTTCGCACTGAAACGGCCATGGGTGGTTTTTCAAATGGAAATAGCGCGGAGGGGTGAAGTGTGAGCAAAAAGTGCTTGCTGGGAGGAACTCCAGTTGGGATATGTACTATATCGTAGGAAAAATCTTGGAGGCCTGGGATCAACGCCTGAGGCTGTGGCCTTGGCTAAAAATTGTACATCTCGTCCCAAAATGACACATGGTGTCCGACGAAATTCACCGACAATTTACAAACTATATGCCATTCGATAGAGCTCCATGAGTAGGTTCTGGAAAAATTTGGTTCAAATTTTTCTGACCATTTTGGGCAAAGTTATGAGACTCAAAAGGTCCAAAATGTCCCGAACCCTTACCGTGAAGGGTGGCTCCCATCGAGTGTAATTATAAAAGTGGTTAAACTTGGGCAAACGGTTTCAACTCTTTTTTGGCATAATAGGGCACTAAGTGTACTACAATTTTGTTGGGGGACACTTGAGTCTGGAATTTTTTTCTGACATAGTTATGGGCACCAAAGTGACCTCGCCAAAACCGACTTTTTAACGCGTGAATTGAAACTCGATTTTAGTATCCTATCTTGTAGAGCGTCCCTTGAAACCTCTAAAAATATATACTTTGTTGGGGGTTCACTTGAGTCTGGGAAAGTTATAGGGCAAAAAGTGGCATTTTTGGGGCCAAAAGTGGTCGGTTTTTTGGGTATAACTTTTTTTAAAAAATTTTTAAAAATAAACGGACTTTAGATTCGTGTTCAGCACCCTTTGCAGTACCATAAAACATATTTTTCTCGAGGTCGAATTTTTGACCCATTTTTGAAATTTTTTGGTGAAATTTAAATTGGGCATAACTTTGTATGTTTTTGTCATAGCCAAACGAAATAAGGGTTATAAAATAGAGCAAAATATTACAAATTTTTTGAGCTATTTAAATTTTTGAAAAATTTAACCCGAAGCCTGGTAGGGTCGATTTTTTGAAAATTCAAAATTTTTCGGTTTTTTAAATTTTCTGGGGTATATCGAGGCTGAGGGTGGTTGTAAATATTTTTATAAAATAGAGCAGAATTTTTACTATATATTAAGCTTTTAAAATGTTTCAAAAGGGTCACTTTTTGGGGAGTTATGAATTTTTGAAAAATTACGTGAATTTTTCGGAAGAAATTTTCGGCCAAAAAAATTTTTTTTGGAAAAATCGAAATATAGGGCCAAATTTTATATCAATCGAAAGCTCTCATCAAGCTGAGCTTAAAAATATCTTTTGCAAAATTTTCTGACCATTTTGTACAAAGTTACAAAAGGTCGAAATTTCGGGTGAGGGGGGTTTGGGGGTCGAAGGCCCCCAAACGGCGGGCCGGAGGCCTGCCGTGCGAGGGCCGAAGGCCCGAGCGCTCGATGCCGAAGGCCGAGGAGTTACGGCGAGGGCCGAAGGCCCGAGCTTAAGATCCATCCCAAAATGGGTCGCGAGGGCCGAAGGCCCGAGCTTAAGATCTATCCCAAAATGGGTCACGAGGGCCGAAGGCCCGAGCTTAAGATCCATCCCAAAATGGGTCGCGAGGGCCGAAGGCCCGAGCTTAAGATCCATCCCAAAACGAATAGCGAGGGCCGAAGGCCCGAGCTTAAGACCCATCCCAAAACGAATCGCGAGGGCCGAAGGCCCGAGCTTAAGATCCGTCCCAAAATTAATCGCGAGGGCCGAAGGCCCGAAGCAATGAAAAGGCAGAGCTAAACTTCACCGGCGATGGCCGAAGGCCCGAAGCAATGAAAAGGCAGGGCAATCTTTACCGTTTCTAGCAGCGCGCGAAGCGCGCCCCAAAGCCGTTAGGCTTTCCAACGGGCAGAGCAAAATTTTACCGCCAGAGTATCCTAATAGGAATTGCATACGTAACTTACCGCCATACCCCAATGGGCACAACTAGTTTAGCTTTTAATCAAATAAGTAGAACATATTACCGAGGGTTTAAATATTATCCATTTTTTAATCCTAAATACTTATTTATATAATTAGAATTAAAATACTTTTTTTAGATAATTCACTTGAAAAAAATTCTTTATCAAACTGATCAAGACAGGCAATTAGAACGACTTTTTGCCTATGTTCATTTTATTGACGAAGGTTTTGGAGTTTGGCTTAATACGGTTATTTCTTTTTTTAAATTTTATTGCCAATTTTTTTACAGAAATGTTTGGCTAAAATGGATCCAGGTATGTACACACATCCATGGCAGACATTTGCAGTTTCAATGTTTAGAGTGCGACTTGGAAATGAATTAAATGGGTTGATATTTTAATTAAATTATTTTAAGGTTGAGATTTGTTTATTTTTAGTGTTTTTTCTATTGAGGAATTTTAACTGTTTTTAGGGTTTTTATTCAAAAATTTTATTTGATTCCTCGTAGAAATTATTTTTTCTTTTATAGTTCTTCATCCAATTCTTTGCCTTCCAGTTTAACTGACACACTTATTGATATTATGTCAAATTATGAGTATTTCAAAGTTGTGCCTGTCATAGACAGTAGACGTTATCCAGATTATTTTGAATATACTAGGGTATTTTTATATAAATTTATTTAAAAAATTCTTTATTTTCTAGGCAGAAATTTATGGCCTTGAAACATTGGAAGATGATGAAGGGCCAGAAGGTAAAGCCGAGTCAATTACTCACAGACTTTTAATTGAATTACTTGATACTGGTCAAGAGAATAATTTTGAAGAGTTTGTTTTTTAATTAAAAAATTGAGAATTATTTATTTTTTCATTTTAGTTTATCAAAGCAAAATATTAATGGTAAAATTGAGAAGTTATCTTTAAATGAGGCAAATAGTTCAAGTGATCCTTTGATTTTGGATAAATCATTTGATAGAGTTATTTTTGATGCAAAACAACATCCGTTGGTCAGAGAAAAGAATTTTTATTGGACGGTTTGTGTTTTTTAAAACTTTTTAAAAATTATTTTGATAATTATTTTTTAGCCAGATTTACTTGCTGAAATTCCAAAGTGGCGAATGAAGTGGCCGAAAGATTTTTGTCATGATTCACTTATTGTAAATGGAGAAAGTCTTCAACAGTCATTAAATATTTCTGATATTAATTAATTTGCAAAATAAATTTTATTTCTTTTTTTAAGTCTTTCCAAAAGTCAATTTATTTTTGTGCATTCACGTTTTCGGGTCTCATCAAAAAAATTTTTGTTGTTAGTATATTATTTTTGTTTGGCCTTTATATTTTTTAAGTCAATTTACTGTTTATTGTCTTATTTGTGAAAATTGAAAGAAATGATATAAATATATTTTTTATATAAATTGGGATTTTAATTTAATTAAAATTGATATTTCTTTTTTAAATATTTTTCTGATTACATTTAATTTTTAAAATAATTTTTAGAATGTTTTTAAAAAGAATTACTTTATTTCCTCAAAAACATTTTTATTTCTGTTTTCGTCAACTACATTTAAGTAATTTATTAGAATATGGACGTTATCCATATTTTAATATTCACAAAAATGTTACTGATCCAAAGAGACAAGATCCTGATTATTTTGAAAAGGAGGCGGAGAAATTGCCTTTAGGTTTGTTTAAATTTTTATTTGAAAATAATTTTTTAAATTAAGTTATTCAATTAAAAAATATTTTGGAAGGGGGAATTAAAAGTAAATTAATTTGGAATTTTTATTTATTAAATATAAAAGAATTTAAAGAAATTGAGAAGAAAATGTTATTTAGTAATTTTGTTTATTCAAGTAATATGTAAGTAAATTTATTTAAAAAATAATTTTAAAAAAATTTAGAAAAATGGAAAATGAGAATGGAGGAAATGGATTGGATGGAGAACCTTTAATTGAAAAAGGTTTTTTTTAAATTTAAGGCCCGGACATGGCTTTAACTTAGTTTTTATACCAAATAGTTCCTCAAATTTAGCACAATTTTAAATTAATTTTGAACATCTTTAAAAATATTTTTGAGATAATTTTTTTGAAAATTATTTATAATTTTTTTTAAATTTTTAATTTAAAGATGAAAAACACCAAAAATCAAAAAAAGTTGAAGATTTGCCTTTAGTTTTTTGTGATTATATAATGTTAGCTTTACTTTTTACATGTTTTTTGTGGCCTTTTTCTATGCTTTATAATTATTTACATTATGATTGGGATCAAATTTATGATGATTTTATTGAAAGAAAAATTGAAGAAAGAAACCAAAAACAACAAAAAATAATTTAATTAATTTTTTTTGTTTTTTTATTTAAATAAATTATTTAAAAATAAGTTTTTTTAAAATAAATAATTTTATTTATTTAAAATATTTTTTTATAATTAAATTTAAAATTAATTTAGAATTTAAAAGAAAATGTTAAAATCCAAAATATTTTGTTTTTTGACAACAAATAAATTAAAAGGTTTTTATTTTAAATTAATTTTTTTAAAGAAAAATCTTTTTTTAGTTAAATTACCAAAAGAAAGTTGTCGTTATTTATGTTCTGTTGGTGGAATTGGAAAGAATTTTTGTTTTAAAAAATTAATTGTTCGTTTTTATTTATTTAAAATTAAAAAAATATTTTTTTTAAAGATTATTAGAAATAAAAGTAATTATGAAGAATTTAAAGAAGAAAAAGAAGAAGAAGAATATATTAATTTAATGAAAACTAATTTAAATGAAAGAAATGAAAGGCCAACATTTAATTATTTTTCTAAAAAATCTTCAGACAAAAAATTTGGCGGAAAAGAAGTTTTTTTTAATTTAATTTTAAAATAAATTTTTAAAGATTTTGGCAATTCTTTTTATGGTAATTTCTTGGTCAATATTTTTATTTCCTGTTCAAATTAAACTTTTACTTTGGGAAAAACTTGAAGAAATAGTAGAAAATGAGTTGTATGATTTTGAAAAATCAATGGAAAAAATGAAAGAAAAATTAAAAGAAAATAATTAAATAAATTTTTTATTTTTTTAGAAAAAAAGGTAAAATAAATTTAAATTATAATTTACAAAAATAAAAGAAATATTTTTAAAATTACATAAATTATCAAAACTATTCATTTCCCCTCTCTCTCTCTTTCTTTCAATTAATTTTTATAATTACCAGAATAATAAAAATTAGAAGAAAATCTTTGTTGATTATTATTTAAATTAATTGGAGAAGGTGAAGAAGAAAAAGATGAAAATGGTTGTTTATTTGTAATTAAAATATCATTTGAAAATGGATATTTTAACTAAATAAAAAATAAAATATTAAAAAATTTAGAAATTAAATTACAATTTGTTGTTGATTAGAAGGATTTGTTGGTGGTGGTGGTAATATTCTTTTAAAAGGCTGAGGTTTTTGTTGTTGTTTTGTTTGTTGTGAATTAAATTGTTGTTGTTGTTGGGAATTTATTGAATTAACTTTAAAAAAAAATTTTTTTTCTAAAAATTTATTTTCTCCTCTCAAATTAAAAAAAACCAAGCTAATTATTACAATAAAACGGTAAAATTAATTCCAAAAGTAGCCAGAATTGGATAGGATTAAAATGAGAATTTTCATCCCCATTTTGGTTTCTTTTTAAGGAAAGAAGGTAACTTATTTGTTAGCCCCGGCCTTGTATTTATTTAAAAATTAATTTACTTTGATTTTGTTGAAAATTATTATTTAAATATTTTTGTTGTTTTTTGTAAAAACTTTTAAAAAAAATAATTAGTATATTTTTTTAAATTAAAGTAAATTTACAAATTTTTATTTTCTGAATCAATTAAAAATAAAGGAGAAGTTGTTGGGGGGAGTTGAGTAGAAGAATAAATTATTTGTTTTTGTTTTTGTTTTTTTGAAGATTTGTGGTTATGGTGGTGATGATTGTGGTAATTGTTTTTAAGTGTCTTTTTAAATTAATTAAAAATTAATTTTTAAAATTACCGGAATTCCTTCAATTCTTGTTTTTATTTTTTTGTGATGTTTCTTTTTTGATTTTTTATTTAAAAAATTTTTTGTTGATAATAATTCTAAAATTAATTTTTAAAAATTTTTAAGAATTATTTCCAACCATTATTATTTCCAACTTCTTCCACTCCCCCTCCTCCTCCTTCATGTAATAATTTAATCCCTTCAACAACAGCACCTCCTCCTCTACTTTCTTCATTTTTATTTAAATTTTTGTGTTTATGATAATGTTTATTTTCCTTTAAATTAAATTTATTTTTAATTTTTAAATTAAATTAATTACTTTCGGCCTTTCCAAAGAAAGAATAACTGGAGGTTTTTTAAAATTAATTATTTTACGAAGAATTGGATCGTTTTGACCATCAACCTTTAAAAAATAAATATTTATTTTTTTAATTTAAAAAATAAACAAACAACAAATTCTTCAAAAAAATTTTCATTTTTATTTGTTTCTTCATCAGTTAAATTTTCATCAAACAATCCACGCCTTAATGCAGCTAAATTTCGACGAGAAGCTTTTTGTTTATTAATCGGTTTTTCTAAGAGAAAAAAATAAAAATTTTAATAAATTTAAGGGGAAATCTAGAAGAGGAGTATTTTAAAATGCTTTAGCTACATATAAGCAAAAAGCTTGGTTAGTGGAAATCCGCAACGACCCTCTAATTTTCCTCTAGCTAGTCCCGCTGAGAATTTTTTGATTAAATAACTATTTAAATATGCTGGGAAATTTTTGGAAATTAAAAACAAATATCTGGAACTGTCATTAGTAGGGCCAGCCAAAACATGCAAATGCATGTTTTGTATGTGGATATGTCTTGAAGTGGGAAGCCCATAAATGGTGTTTTTACATTGGTCCGAGCACTTCAAGGCATATTTTAACTATTTTTTGGCGATTTTCCATGCATATTCCGGTTGTCCCTAGTCATTAGATAGATTATCTAAATATTTAATTTTACCTTTTCTGTTATTTATTATATCATCCCCAATTTCTTTTTCATTTTGATGAGGGGAATGAGAAGAAGGAAGAGGAGATGTATTTTCTTTTCCTTCATTATTATTTTCTTCTTTTTTCAATTGTTTTTCCAATTCTTCAAATTCTAATTTTGTTAAATTTCCCATTTTTAAATGTCCAAGCAATTTTCCAAGTTCTGGAACCATTTCAGATAAATCAGAATTTTCAATTATTGTCATATTTAAATTTTGACTGGATGGATTTGATGGAATCTTTTTTAAAAAAAAATATTTTTTTAAAAATATTCCCAAATTATTTACCAACGGTTCTAATAACAATTTTTCAATCTCTTCCTTTTCTTTTTTTAATTTTTCTTTATTTTCTTCATCAATATTAAAATTTGTTTCAATTTTTTCTTTTTTAATTATTTTAATTTTTGTTGTTGTTTCAATTTCTTCTTCCTGTCCATTACTTTCACCTGGCAATAAAATATTTTCTTTTAAATTATTTTTAATATTCAATGAAGGAGGAGGAGATAAAGGAATTTCTTCAATTGATCCAACACCAATAAATTTCTGTTTAAAAATTAAAATAAAATAAAATTATTTATTTTCAGTACCTTTCCTGTTGAAATTCTATTTCCTCTAATATTATTTTTATTAAAATTATTATTTGTTTCTTCTAAATTTCCTTTATACAAAGAATTAATATTATTGTTATTGCTGTCAATCTCTCCTTTAAAAAGAATTTTTTTTAGAAATTTTAAAAATAAAAAACTAGCCAGGTAATAATTTAGCTATTCTATTGTTTGTTGTTGGAAATAAATCTGGAATTAATGTAAAATGTGAAGGAGAATAGGGCAATTCTGTATTTATATTTCTTCCATTTAATGAATTTCCTTCAATAATTCCACCACCATCACTCCCCCCTCCTCCTTCTCCACCAAATTCTTTTCCATATTCACTTCCAATATTTGTTGTCAATTTTGAAGAACCTTTTATTTTTTTAATAAATAAATTTAAATATATAGTGAAATCCCGTTAATACATCACCCTTGAAACCGAAATTTGGTAGACATGAAAGAGATAATTGGAAAGGCATATGTATTAACAAGGATTTAATTAATTAATTTACTTTTAATTCCTCCTCCATTTATTCCACTACCCCCACCACCACTACTTTGTCCATTACCAAATCCATTAAAAAGCCTATCTTGAAAATCTTTATTCATTCTTGCTGCGTTCTCTACAACAACGGGAAACCAAGCACTTTAATTAAGTTTGGGTAATACTTTAGCTAACCCCCCCCATTTTCCCTATCTATTTTGAGCTTTTTTGTTTGATATTACAGGATTGTTAAAATTTTATTATTTTGAACAAAAATATGAAGCTGAATCCTCCTCTCTCGAAAAGCTTTTTGTTCCGCTTGAAGGGATTGAAACAAATGATCATACCTTAGTTAACTTAAATCTGATTTAGTTGATTTTAATGCCATATGACTCAGCTCGAAGAGCTCTTTAATGATATTAATTTGCCATAAAAAGAGAAAAATATAATAAGGGGAGGTCAGCCAAAGTATTACCCAATTTTCTTTTAAACAAAAATATTCCTGAATTTACCTTTCTGATGCTTGATTGGCAATTCCAACACCAGTTCCTATTTAATTTTTTTTATTTTATTAATTTACATATTTAGCTACCTGTTAATTGGAGGGCAGCTTGTGCTAGCTGATAAACTTTAAATTATTTAGATTTATTTTTAATATTTTTTAAAATTAATTTTTACGTTGTCCAATATTTCCCAGAGCTCCTGCAGCCCCCGCACCTGCAGAAGCACCAGTACCAATAGCTGAACCAAGTCCAGTTCCAAGCCCTGTACCCAAACCTCCAGCTAAACCAGACCCAGCCCCACCCGCCACCAAAGAAGAAATTGCCGAAGCAATTTCCCCGAATTGAGCATTTCCAAAAGGCAAAAAAATTAAAATAACAAATAAATAGTAAAATGTAATAATAAATTGTTTAAGAATGTAAAGGAAATTATTAGTAATTTTTCTTTTAAAATAAATTGATGAAGTAAAATCTCTTTTTATTTTATTTTTCTTTAAATTATTATTTAATGGTGGAGGAGGTTTGCCTGGTGAACATTCTGGTGGCATTACTAGTGTCGGGACTGGCCCGACTTAATGATGTTTCATAATATTATATTTTTAATATTTTTTAACAAAATTCCAATTTCTATTTTTATTATTATTTCATAATCTTTCCGATGATTCTTTTCATGTTTCTTCCCAAATAATTCATATTTTTGATATTCCAACTTAATCATACTTTTAAAACAATTCTTGTTTTCACCCTTCTTTAAAAGCAAATTCTAATGCCCCAAAAATATCTTTTTCCTCTTCACTTTTAATTTTAAGAATAAAAATCTTCCCCCAAAAAAATTATTAAAACTTTTAAACTTTGAGAATAAATATTAAAATTTTACGTCTTTTCGAATTTATTTTAAGTCGAAATTTATTAATTTCGACAATTGGTGCCGCTAAATCGAACCTGCGAATAATTGCGAACCCGAAAGGGTAAAAATAATTCAAACTGCCTAATCGACGAGAGCGTAGCCCGATTAGAAGAAGAAGCCCTTTAAGAAGAAATAGAGAAAATTCTGAAAGATATCGGCCAAATTATCAAAGAAACAGGTCGTTTTATTTACATAGTGGTAGACAAATTAATTTCGATAGATATCCACAGAGTAGAAATTTTTCTAATACGTTTCGTGGGCGTGGTCGTGGTAATTTTAGAAATTTACGACAACAACAGCAGCAACCACAAATTGTGATACAAGTGCCACCGCAGCCACAGCAAATACAACATTTTCAAGAACATTTTCCACAAATTCCGCAACAGCAGAATTATTTACAACAACAACCAGGACCTTCAGCACAATATTATATTCCACCGCGATTAAATTACAACAATGGCAGCAGTTATTCAAGCTTCTATCCGCCCCATCAAGGAACGTTTGCGCCGCTACGTGGGAGAGGTGGAACAAGAGGATTTCAGCCTAGATGGGAATTTGCAAGGCGCTGAACGTCGCAGGCAATGTAATCTTTTAAAAGAAATGATAATTACACATATAGAAAAAATAAGTTGTTCGGTAAATGAGTTAGAGGGCCAAAATAAAATTTGGATGAATTGGTTAGGTGATATGGAAGACGAGCAATATCAAAGAGCAGCTAGAAATTTTACGGAATTTTCGGAAGGTCCAGAAGGCCATATGATTTTAATGGAAAGAGCCCGGGAACGATTAATACATCTAAGGGAAAACTTAAGAATTTTAAATGATTTTTGTCCATCCGAAAATGCGAACATTACTATAAGGAATCAGGGAAATCTAAATCAAACAATGGTTGAGTCAAATTTACCTACTCTCGAATTGCCAAAATTTAATGGGGATATAAGTAACTGGGAGGCATTTTATGAAGATTTCATGAGTATGATAGATGAAAAACAAATTTCGGATAAGATGAAACATTCCTATTTACGAAAAGCACTGAGAGGGGAAGCTGAGGAATTAGTTCAGGGCTACGCGATTACGGCACTCAATTATAGATTAGTTTTAGAGGTTTTAAAGGACCATTACGGTAATAAAAATATAACAAAAAGTGCGTTACACGGGGCATTAATAAAAATCCCGAGAAGCAGCAAATACGTCCCCGAGGTAAAAAATACTTTAAGAAAAATTGAGTGTATCCTTAGGCAACTTAAGCAATTAGGGGAAGATATTGAGCACGAACAAATAAAACAATTAATACAAAGAAAAATGCCTAAATGGATTTTAAAAGAGATAGTAAAAAGAACTAGGGCCGATCCTGAATGGAAAGTTGAGGCTATGTTAAAATTTTTAGATGAAATGATTCAATTAGAACAGCACGTATATTTGGCCCAAAAAGACTTAGATGAGATAGATGAGAATTTAAAAGGGCGTTTTAATGAAAATAGAAAAATAAATTCAGGCCGATTTCAACGTAATGGCAATGCGAATATAAGCCGAAATAATTATAATACAGGGTCAAAACAAATTTCTTCGGTAATGTATGCCCTCCAAGAAAAAGAAACTAAGAAAAAATGTATATTTTGTTCTGAGGCTCATTGGGAATCAAGATGCGAAAAATTTTCAACAAAAGAACAAAGGGCCGAAAAATGTCACGAATTAGGAATTTGTTTTAAATGCTTAGAATCGGGACATCTTTCAAAAAATTGTAGGGCAAAAATAAATTGTTTTTTCTGTAAAAAGCCCGGCCATAACACAGCATTTTGTCAGAAAATAAATAAAAATAATATAGTCAAAAGAAATGTCCCCAATCAATACACACAGAAATACAATTCAGCTAAAACCGAAATAAATAAACAAGTGTGCGTTGGAATAGAAAAAGAGACCAAAGAAGAAGGAATTGAAAATAAACAGTTTAATAGCCTAATAGAGCCAGATTTTGATAAAACACTAGAAATAATGCTTCCAACCACACAAGCAATAATAAGTCACCCCTCGCATCCTGAAAGGTATGAAAACATTCCAATCTTCTTAGATTCTGGGTGTCACATTTCGTTAATAGAAAATGAGATAGCAGAAAATTTAGGACTAATTCCGGTTAAGACACAAATTTTTAGAGGAAATGGTATATTTGGATGTAAAGTAAACAGAACCATGCCTATTTACCCGGTAGACCTACATTGCCTAGATGGAGAAATAATGAGAATTTTTGTAAGAGGGGCAGATAATGTTACCACAAGAATGTGCATTCAAACAAAAAGGGCCATTGAAGAAGCAATAAGTAAAAAATACGTTCCGAAAAACTCTCTTTTTGTTGAAAAACCAGGTATTTTATTAGGCTCTGACTACTTTGGAAAAATCTTTTTGGCTGAAAATACTGAAGCAGGCTTTGGAATATTTAATACAAAATTGGGAAAAATTTTATCCGGACCTGGAAAATTAATTGATGAAAAAATGCAAAAAGTAATTGGAGCGCTTTCTAAAGAAAATGAACAAAAGGAATTCCATAAATACTGGGAACTTGAAGGCATAGGTATCCACGAAAATCCAGTACAGAATGACGACAAAGTAGCCATGGAACACTTTCAAAAAACATGTACACGAGACTCAGATGGCCGATATGTAGTGAGCTGGCCATTAAAGGATGAAAATGTAAAAATAAAAAATAACTTTTGGGGAGCCATTTCAGTACTAAAGTCCGTGCATAAAAAGTTAATGGAAACAAAAAGATTAAATAAATACAATGAAATGATTATGACACAAATTAATGAGGGAATTTTAGAAATTATTGATAATGACGGTAAAGAAAATTCTACATTGTACATTCCTCACCATCCAGTGTATAATAAAGAAAAGGATAAATTAAGAATAGTTTTTAATGCTAGTTTTAAAACAAAAGGAAGCAATTCTTTAAATGATCTACTTTACAGAGGACCCGTGTTATTACCTGAATTAGTCGGATGCCTAATGCGTTTTAGAATGAGTAAAATTGTAGCTATAGCTGATGTTCAAAAGGCGTTCCATCAAATTGCGATTGCGGAAAATCAAAGAGATCTGACCCGGTGTTTTTGGCTAAAAGATATAGAGGGAGAAGTAGTGGAAAGTAATGTGATAAAATTAAGATTTAAAAGAATGGCATTCGGTGTTATAAGTGCACCTTTTCTTATGACGGCCTCTATTAATGATCATTTAGAAAAAACAAATACTAAGCTCTCTTTAGAATTAAAAAATGGGGGAATGTACGCAGATAATATATTTCTTTTTGCCAATTCAACACAAGAATTAAGGGACAAATGCGAACAATCCAAAGAAATATTTGCCCAAATTAAAATGAATTTACATGAATTTTTCTCTAACGATTTAAAAATAAATAAAGCATTTTCCGAACAGCACGAAAAGAAAATAATTAAGGTTTTGGGGATTAATTGGAATTTACAGGAGGATGAGATCTTTTTAGAATTAAGTAAAAATGAAAATTTAATAAATGAAAATATGATTTGGACCAAGAGAAAGGTGTTAAAACAACTAGCAAAGACATTTGACCCATTAGGCTATTTAATACCAGTCTCTCTCCCCAGAAAATTAATAATGCAGGAAATTTGGAAAAATGACATCGATTGGGATGAGAAACTTAGTCCTGAATTAAATAAAAAATGGAATGAATTAATGCAACAAAATAATGAAGAAAATATGAGTTTAAAAATAAAAAGAGAAA